AAAAAAATAAACCGTGTAGGTGTGGTTGGAAGCCCAAGGGATTATATACTGTAAAAACCACACCACAAAAAAACAATATACAATACATAAGTACAAAAATAAGAAAGGTTTGTAAAAACAGATAACAAAACCCACTAATCATAAATGTACAAATCAATGTAAAAACCAATCAGCAATCACAAAAAATATATAAACAGTATATGTTTTGTTTTAAATGTGTGTGTGGATGTGAGTGTGTGAGAGTTGGGCTATATGGAGGAGGTTACGGAGTAGTTTGGTTCATTAGGCTGACCCCCAGTCTTCGCTTGAAGTTATTGAGGGATGATGAGGGTTTGGCAATGTGAAGATAAGTATTCCAGGGTATGGTACCTCTGTATCTGATAGAGAATTGACTACGTTGAGGTGCGGCAGTGGGGAGGGTGAAGGTTATCACAGTGTCTTTTGTTATGTAGATGAAAATGCATAATTGGCATACATTGATGTCATAAATATACAAGATATTGAGTTTCTTAAACAAAGGTGCAGATGGAGCCACGTGGTAATTAGAGGAGGTGGCTAGTCTTGCAAATGTATTTTGTATGATGAGTAATTTGTGTAGATAGGAGGCATGTGTACAGTCCCGTGTGGCTCAGTTGGTAGAGCATGGCGCATGCAACGCCAGGGTTGTGGGTTCGATTCCCATGGGGGTACCAGTACGGAAAAAACATATATACGAATATGTATCCACTCACTACTGTAAGTCGCTCTGGATAAGAGTGTCTGCTAAATGACTCAAATGTAAATACTGGCCCAGACAATATTACAGTAAGTGAGATATGGTTAAATTAAGCTATAGTAAAGAGTTAGGAAGCAAGCCTGATGAACCAAACCACTAATCTTTCTGATGATAGCAACAGATTTCATAACTTTGCTGCAGACAAATTGAATATGATCTTTCCAGGATATCTTTTCAGCAATTAGAACTCAGAGGAATCTAGTGGATGTGACTTGTTCCATTTCATTCCCACCCACTGAGATTCTGGCTCTTCTTTTTTACAATATTTCTTATTCTTAATATTGAATACAATAATGTAGGATTTTTTTTACATTTTAAAGATAATTTGTTTATTTGGAACCATTCAGAAAATGTGGCCATGCCTGAGTTAGCTTCATTAATTAGTCAATGAAAGTTATTCTGTGATAAAATCAAATTGGTATAATCAGCAAAGAGAATGGGAAGTATGGTAGAAGACACAGCAGCAAGGTCATTGATATAGATTAGGAATAATAAAGGTAAAGTTATCGAACCCTGTGGGACGCCACAGGATATGGTAGATGCACAACCGTTTGCATAAACAAATTGTTCTCTATCATACGGATTACCAGGACGTGTACTCCGAGCATGTGCTGGCCAACTGGCAAGTGTCTTCACTGACATTTTCAACATGTCCCTGACTGAGTCTGTAATACCAACATGTTTCAAGCAGACCACCATAGTCCCCGTGACCAAGGACTCTAAGATAACCTGCCTAAATGACTACCGACCCGTAGCACTGACGTCTGTAGCCATGAAGTGCTTTGAAAGGCTGGTCATGGCTCACATCAACAGCATTATCCCAGAAACCCTAGACCCACTCCAATTTGCATACCGCCCCAACAGATCCACAGATGATGCAATCTCTATTGCACTCCACACTGCCCTTTCCCACCTGGACAAAACCTAAGTGAGAATGCTATTCATTGACTACAGCTCAGCATTCAACACCATAGTGCCCTCTAAGCTTATCACTAAGCTAAGGATCCTGGGACGAAACACCTCCCTCTGCAACTGGATCCTGGACTTCCTGACGGGCCGCCCCCAGGTGGTAAGGGTAGGTAACAACACATCTGCCACACTGATCCTCAACACGGGGGCCCCTCAGGGGTGCGTGCTCAGTCCCCTCCTGTACTCCTTGTTCACCCATGACTGCATGGCCAGGCACGACTCCAACACCATCATTAAGTTTGCAGACGACACAACAGTGGTACCCCTGATCACCGACAACGATGAGACAGCCTATAGGGAGGAGGTCAGAGACCTGGCCGTGTGGTGCCAGGATAACAACCTCTCCCTCAACGTGACCAAGACAAAGGAGATGATTGTGGACTACAGGAAAAAAAAGAGGACTGTGCACGCCCCCATTCTCATCGGCGGGGCTGTAGTGGAACAGGTTGAGAGCTTCAAGTTCTTTGGTGTCCACCAACGAACTATCATGGTCCAAACACACCAAGACAGTCGTGAAGAGGGCACGACAAAGCCTATTCCCCCTCAGGAGACTGAAAAGATTTGGCATGGGTCCTCAGATCCTCAAAAAATTCTACAGCTGCACCATCGAGAGCATCCTGACTGGTTGCATCACCGCCTGGTATGGCAACTGCTTGGCCTCCGACCGCAAGGCACTACAGAGGGTAGTGCGTACGGCCCAGTACATCACTGGGGCCAAGCTTCCTGCCATCCAGGACCTCTATACCAGGCGGTGTCAGAGGAAGGCCCTCAAAATTGTCAAAGACTCCAGCCACCCTAGTCATAGACTTTCTCTCTGCTACCGCACGGCAAGCGGTGCCGGAGTGCCAAGTCTAGGTCCAAAAGACTTCTCAACAGCTTCTACCCCCAAGCCATAAGACTCCTGAACAGCTAATCATGGCTACCCGGACTATTTGCACTGCCCCCCCACCCCATCCTTTTACGCTGCTGCTACTCTGTTAATTATTTATGCATAGTCACTTTAACTCTACCCACATGTACATATTACTTCAACTACCTCAACTAGCCGGTGCCCCCGCACATTGACTCTGCACCGGTACCCCCCTGTATATATAGCCTCCCTACTGTTATTTTATTTTACTTCTGTTCTTTTTTTCTCAACACTTTTGTTGTTGTTTTATTATTATAAAAATAAATGCACTGTTGGTTAAGGGCTGTAAGTAAGCATTTCACTGTAATGGCTGCACCTGTTGTATTCGGCGCATGTGGCCAATAAAATTTGATTTGATAAACATAACTATATAACAAATTATATGTAAATCATGAAAACCGTAATAATGCAATTTAGAAAGTAATATTTTATGATCAACCGTGTCAAACGCTTTGGATAAATCTAAAAAGATGCCAAGAGTGTATTCATTGTTAAAGGGCTGTAAATATTTTATCCACAAGTTGCAAAAGAGCCATATCTGTGGAATAGTTTTTACAAAAACCATATTGGTGCTCATACCAATTTTTCTAGGATTTTAGAAAAACATGGTAGTACAGATATTGGGCGATAATTTGTAAAAGATCTTGGATCCCCAGATTTATAGAAGGTGATAACTTGACCAATTATGAAATCTTTAGGAACAATACCAGTTTGCATAGATTTGGTCAAGATATACAGTACCAGTCAAGGGTTTTTCTTTATTTTTTACTATTTTCTACAATGTAGAATAATAGTGAAGACATCAAAACTATGAAATAACACATGGAATCATGTAGACAACATATGTAGACAACATATTCGTGCCATTATACTCCTTATAGTGTGCTTTAAAATATGGGTGTGTCTTGATTCTGAAATTAAAACAATCACATTCATTTATTCAACATTAAACCTACTATTCATATCTAAAAAGTACCCTTTTTGATTTGGTTTATTTTTAGACATTGTTTGGAACTACACTACCGGTCAAAAGGTTTAGAACACCTACTCATTCAAGGGTTTTTCTTAATTTTTTACTATTTTCTACATTGTAGAATAATAGTGAAGACATCAAAACTATGAAATAACACATTGAATCATGTAGTAACCAAAAAAGTGTTAAACAAATCAAAATATATTTGAGATTTTTCAAAGTAGCCATCCGTTGCCTTGATGAATGCTTTGCACACACTCAACCAGCTTCATGAGGTAGTCACCTGGAATGCATTTCAATTAACAGGTGTGCCTTGTTAAAAGTTAATTTGTGGAATTTCTTTCCTCCTTAATGCGTTTGAGCCAATCAGTTGTGTTGTGACAAGGTAGGGTTGGTATACAGAAGATGGCCCTATTTGGTAAAAGACCAAGTCCATATTATGGCAAGAACAGCTCAAATAAGCAAAGGGAAACGACAGACCATCATTACTTTAAGACATGAAGGTCAGTCAATCCGGAAAATTTCAAGAACTTTCTTCAAGTGCAGTCGCAAAAAACAAATGTAAACTCTTGTTTGCAACTGTTGGACTAGTAATTACATTATTGTTTGTGTAAGCTGTGTTGTTGGCTAGCTCCTCTGAACAACACTATCCTGATGAGAGAGCACATTTTCTATGTCAGGCGAAATCGCGCCTCATTAGCTCATTGTTATGGATGTATCCAAATAAATATCACTAGAAAACTGCTAAAGCAAATGCAGCTACTGTTGTTATTTTGTCTGCACTGTTTGATTTGACACTAAGTTAGCCATAGTTGGCTAGCTAGCAAGCAAGGGATAAGAACGTTGCCAGCCAGTATGGCAATGGAACACCTCAAATTTGTCTCTTGGCCTGTGTGCACCTACGTGGTAGACTTTCATTCATAGGCTTGGTTGTAGCAACCTAATGATGGGTATAGGGAACATTAGAGTATCATGTAGGAGCCTAAACCTATTGCTGTGACATTGAACTGGATGAATGGAATATGAATGAGAGTCATCCAATATGCTGTGATAGAAATAAGGCCATGCTCATATAGTGAGTCAACCTATTTTCAGCCTTTTTATTTCCAACTCATTTTCTCATGCTCTCTCTTGTCTCTGTGCAGCAATATAGTGAGAAATATGTTTGGAACATAAAATCGCAGTATCGAATTGCAATACATATAGAATCGTGAGAATCGCAATAGATATCGTACCGGCACCTAAGTATTGTGATAATATCGTATGGTGAGCCCTACAGTAGCGGACTAGGCCCTGACAGATAACTCTGCTCTCTGATCAAGAGCTCCGACCTGACCTTTCTGTCACCCTCTTTCCTCTCTCTTTCTCTAGGGGGCAGTGAGGGGCAAGGTCACATTCTCCAGCGCTTTCCTGAGAAGGACTGGGAGGACAATCCCTTTCCACAAGGCATCGAACTGGTATGTAACTAACATAACTCTCACACACAAATGCACAATAGCCTACATATTTACCCGATACTACATGCATCATCCATACCTGTAGAAAGGCTGCATCATGAAGGGATCAACATAACCCAGAATCATTTACTGTTAATGTGTATTTATTGTCTCCCAAATAACCCTTATTCCAATATTGATTACCTAATTATTGTCTGTGTTTTGCCAGAGTCAATATTGAAGAATTCCTAAGTGTTCATTATGTTTTACAAGATTAATGCCTACAGCACAATGTGTTCAATGGTTATTCCTTGGCTTGCTTCTAGCCTATTTCTCACCCTGATTCAAAATAGTGGTGTAAGGTTAATAATTTCTGACACGTGGAAAGTTTTCTTAACTTGGTGTAGCCTAGTGGTGGAAAATAACTAAATGATAGGCTAGAGATCAGAAGTGAGTCACAGAGAGATGAAGAGTAGGGACATGTGATATACCACACTGGGACATGGCACACTAATACTGTATGTTCCTCTCCTGTCATCACTCTCTCGTGCTTCCTCATCAATCTCTCCCTTCTCTCCTTCTATCCCTTTCACCTCATTCCCTTTTCCCTACTTCTTCCCTTCTTTCTCCACCCCTGCCCCCTTGACCCATTTTCTGTCGACCTCACCCTCCCTCGCTCCTCTTCTCTCTCCCTCTCTCCTTTTCTCTCTCAGTTCTGTCAGCCCAACGGATGGCAGTTAGTTCCAGAGAGGGAGCGTCCGTCGTTCTTCGTGTCGGTTCTGACCGACATCAACTCAGAGCGTCACTACTGTGCCTGTTTCACATTCTGGGAGGGCCTGGACAACCCTCAGGTGAGAGACTGGCCACGCTGCTCCTCACACACTGAGCCAATGTCATTATGAACCAATAACAGTGTCCTTACAGCAGTACTGTGTAGCTACTGTGTGCCAACATGTTACACTGGCATCAAAGTTGTGGAAATTAGGCGATCTGTATGTGTATGTGACGTCTGTGATATGACGTTAGATCTTTAATGATACAACAATAGAACATTTGCACAAAGTAAGCTATGTTCTGTAAACGGTTTGATCTTCTGTCTCTCCCTGTGTGTGTGTAGCTACAGAAGGCTGAGGCCAGTGAGGTGGATGAGGACGAGGTCCCAGGGCTGGTCCAGCCGGCTCAGGTCTTCGCCCCCAAGAGCCTGGTGCTGGTGTCCCGTCTGGACCACACAGAGGTCTTCAGGGTACGACGCACCTCAAAGCACTACTGCATGTCTCTGTCCGATACTCCAATTGCACATCTCATCTCTGTTTCTTGTTACAACAAAGAGTGTTTGAGACAAAACTCTAGGCTTGGTTTGGATGTATTTTTCTTTAGGTAGTAGATGTGTTCTTCACCAAAATAACCCCCATTTGTGTCATTTCACTAAAAGTCAAGGAAAGTGTGTGCTTGTCTTCTGACTGTGTGCCTCCCCTGTGCAGAACTGTTTGGGGCTCATCTACACCGTGCACGTGGACAGCCTCAGCGTTCCCTTGGAAACAGTGATCGGAAACCTCCTAACCTGCGTCATCCCCGTTGCTGGTGGTTCTCAGGTAAACACACCTCCTTTCACCATGCATACCGACTTGTACGTACTCTCCTGGGCTGTGCAACCCTCCCAACCAGCTAGCCTATTAGCTTGTTAGCCCCATCCAACCTGCTAGCATATTAGCTTAGCATGTTGGCTGATGCAGACTGCTAGCACATTATCTTAACCAACCTGTTAGCATTGTAGCTTAGCATTAGCGGGTGTGCAATGCTAACCCACAGTGCTGAGTCAATGACCGGGTCCTCAGCACAGAGGAGATGGCAGCATAGTAACCTACACACCACAGGAGGTTGGTGGCACCTTAATTGGGGAGGACGAGCTCGTGGTAATGACTGGAGCGGAATCAGTGGAATGGTATCAAAACATCAAACATGGTTTCCATGTGTTTGATGCCATTCCATTAGCTCCATTCCAGCCATTATTATGAGCCGTCCTCCCCTCAGCAGCCTCCACTGTAACACACTATGTATAGGAATAGCTACTTAGCTCTTGTATTCACCCTATGTGCACAATTTAAACTTACTGTTAGTCTCAAACTAATTCAATGATGCTACAGCATAAAGCAGTGTAACATACAGTAAACTAGTATACTAAATTGTGCACTTCTAGTATATTGGGCCTATACGTACATTTCTGTACATTTTGTTCCCTTGTGTAACATGCAATTGAACCCCGCTGTACATTGGTTCCTCCTGTGTGTTACAGATAAATGAATCCCCAGTATGTAGTTTAAATCTTTCGGTTCCTCAGGCCCTAGCCTGTGACTGGCTACTGGGCTGCTTTCAGGACCAGGTAACATCACCTTCCGGCAGCTTCTTACCAATCCGCTTGCCTCATTGTGATTTTATCTGTTTAGATAAACATGACGATTCTAAAAAGTATGTTTGTATTTCCTATAATCATCTCAAACCATGCTGATTAATATGCAGTTTGCACTAGTCTGCTTTTGTGGGATCCTGCATATTCCATGCTACATTAACCTGTCAATAATTTTGATCATTTGAGACCTTTTTAAAGTCAATGTATTGTTTTGATTCTGTGTGCCGTTGTTTGTTATGGATTGATCTGATGTGGTTGCCATTATTGATCTGTTATAGAAGTGCATAGACTTTTCACTTGGTGAGGAACACACTCACACACAACACACACACACACACACACACACACTGGTTCTCTGAGGGTGACCATATGGGGCACCAGATGGCCTCATAGCAGGCAGTGCAGTGGTCTGAATGAGAGACAGGACTAATCAGCATTAACACACACACACTCACACACACATCTTGCAAACAAAAATAAACATACACTTGACTTACACAGATCTTCAGGCATTGGATAGTATAGCGCAGAGCGTTTTGTAATCTAACGGTGCATGAAAAGCTATGCTAGGTGTTTGTTACGTGTAATAGCAGGTCAAATGTCAAACTTCTAATGACACAGGCCTTTCTATTAGACTCAGGTCTAATGTTGGAGTTGCTAGGACTCTCCCCAGTCATGCCACGTCAACCCAACATGCATTGCAACACATCCCCTTTACTACTGGAACTGGCAATTATCTCAACTGTCAGATACGCACTCCTGGCATACAGAGCAGCAACCTTTAGCCCAATTACTGTACTCTGGACTATAAACGAGTCTAATATGGAACCTGCCTGAACGTTTGTGTGAATGCGCCTGCCTGTGTGATTGCACAGACAGACAGTCATTTACAATGATCTATTCAGTCTCCACAGTGACTTCCAGTTACCAGCCCAAGGACGTTCTGTCAATGGGCCAAGCTCCATAAATAACGTGTTTATTTGATGTCCTGAAATATTAACTGTAAAACATGAACTAAGCAAATGTACCTTTTTAAAGTAACTTCACTGAAAAATGCCAAAGTTACACAAGTATACATTTTAATTCCTCAGTTATTTCACCCCCGAAGTCATGAACACCTCGTCTGACTAATTCGCCCATTTGATGTATGTACTGAGCTGTGGGAGCTTTCATTTTATGACAGCTGGTTTGACTCTGTGCCTTATGTTAATGTTGCCACATTCTCAGGTCATAATGCCACGCTGTTACCGTCTGTGTATATTTGTAATGTCATGTTAATGTTTTATTGTCATTATTTTGTCATGTTTTTGTTTGGATCCTGTTGTGTCTAATCCGTGTGTTCTCCTATGGTGTTTCTATCTCTCTCTCTCTCTCTCTCTCTCTGTGGGGTGCTTGACTTGTGTAGCCGGGCCAGGAAGAGAGAGAGGAGAGCTTGGTACGCCACCTGACCTACTTTATTCTCCTCTCAACCAATCAGCTCCTAGCTTTCCCTAGTTCTGTCGGAATCCTCCTATGTCTGTGTATTTCACCTACCTCTCTCTAAGCCCATCCTCCTCTCCTCCTCTGCCAGTCAAAACGCAGACCTCTCAAGGGAAAACCAATCTTATCACTTTGATAAGGCTCAATCTGTGACCCAATGGCTGATCATTTCACAAAACTGTTATTGGTAGCCGGGAAAAATTCAAGGATATCTAATTGATTGTTGACCAGACGAGTGACGGTGAAATGGTGATCAGTTGGGTCACTGCGTTGATGTCTCAACAGCTCTCCCATTGCTGCTGCTGTAGAAAGCATGGCTAACGCCAACCTTTCCTTTCCAGCTATACACATATACCTGGGCCCTGTATTTTAAGTACTTTGAGATGAAGATTTGGCTACATTAGATTCCTGCTTCTAGAATTTGTAAATACATGTGTATAGAACTACCTGGAAGTACTTAAAATACTTAGTATTCCTACCTGATGTGGTATACAGCCTCTGTAGGCAGATCCAGTTGTTTCTGTGTATTCTATTGTATTACTATGTGATGTCTGTCCTAGAGGCTGCCGTGGTTGGGTTTCTATGTGGTGTATTGGATGCTTTCTTTGACCTTGTGCTACCTGTCCTGTATGCAACTCTATGCTATCTGTCTTCATTTGCAGCCAAGACTCACTGTAATAATCATGCTGTGCAAATTATGCCTTAACTCATGTGGACTAACAGGCTTTTTCGGTCTTGCAAATACTTAAAAATCCAAAACAGTCATTGAAATTGCATGCAACATAAAGATCACACTTACAAATTATGGCAACGTATATCTTACAATAACTACTACAACTCTCTTGAGCTATAAATGTAATGTATGTGCTGCAATGTGAAGTTTACATGACTAAGATCAGATGTTTCATGAATGTTACAATCAACAACAAAAAATCTAAATCATTCTGTCTTTCACTTCCCTTCCCTCTGCGTCACATGGCCGTAAGAACTATCCAGTAACGCTAAACCAATAAGACATGATTAAACCAACACATTTCAAATGTTAAGACCCCCCAACATCAATCAAACATATGAACTCTGCCCTTTCCATACTTACTCAAAATGCAATGGAAATGTCCCTGTATGGACAATCTGGCATGTCGTTGGTATTTGACTCCCATAAGGTCCATTTAATATAGTGGGCTGATTGAATCTGGTAAGACCCATTGCTATGGGGCTCTCAGTTCAGCATAGGTCAGTTCTCTCCTGTTCAGCTGTGAATGGCCGGTGACTGTGTAGTTCTAATGTACCTGCTAAACCCCTGTGATTCTCTCCATCTCTGATTTCTCCTCTCCTCTATACACTCCAACCCTCTGTGATTGTGCTGAAGTGTAGTTGCTAATCCCAATTTTTTCAAGGAAGGGCGTTCACACCATCTGTTCTCTTTTTCCATGCGTCCCCCTCTTTCTCTCTCTCTCTCTATAGAGGACTATAACGTTGGGTGCGGGCGATCGACAGGTCATCCAGACGCCCATCAACGACTCCCTCCCTGTCAGCGGCAGCAGCGTAGCCCATCTCTTTAGACAGCTTGGTACGGCAAATCACAACGCAGTCTACTCAGCCCTGGACCAATGGGGCACCTTATGATTAGTGACATGGACCAATCGCAGAGTCCAATGTTCTCTCACCTTGAAGATTGCCCTTTGAGAGAGAACCTTCACCAGTTGTTTAATTGCTTGATGAATGCAAATCATAGGCCTATATTTGATATGAGTTAGGAGAAAAGGCCAAATACGCCTACATGTATATAGTAGAGTTCTACAGTGAGGGGAAAAAGTATTTGATCCCCTGCTGATTTTGTACGTTTGCCCACTGACAAAGAAATGATCAGTCTATAATTTTAATGGTAGGTTTATTTGAACAGTGAGAGACAGAATAACAACAAAAAAATCCAGAAAAACGCATGTCAAAAATGTTATAAATTGATTTGTATTTTAATGAGGGAAAGAAGTATTTGACCCCTCTGCAAAACATGACTTAGTACTTGGTGGCAAAACCCTTGTTGGCAATCACAGAGGTCAGACGTTTCTTGTAGTTGGCCACCAGGTTTGCACACATCTCAGGAGGGATTTTGTCCCACTCCTCTTTGCAGATCTTCTCCAAGTCATTAAGGTTTCGAGGCTGACGTTTGGCAACTCGAACCTTCAGCTCCCTCCACAGATTTTCAATGGGATTAAGGTCTGGAGACTGGCTAGGCCACTCCAGGAGCTTAATGTGCTTCTTATTGAGCCACTCCTTTGTTTCCTTGGCCGTGTGTTTTGGGTCATTGTCATGCTGGAATACCCATCCACGACCCATTTTCAATGCCCTGGCTGAGGGAAGGAGGTTCTCACCCAAGATTTGACGGTACATGGGCCCGTCCATCGTCCCTATGATGCGGTGAAGTTATCCTGTCCCCTTAGCAGAAAAACACCCCCAAAGCATAATGTTTCCACCTCCATGTTTGACGGTGGGGATGGTGTTCTTGGGGTCATAGGCAGCATTCCTCCTCCTCCAAACACGGCGAGTTGAGTTGATGCCAAAGAGCTCAATTTTGGTCTCATCTGACCACAACACTTTCACCCAGTTCTCCTCTGAATCATTCAGATGTTCATTGGCAAACTTCAGACGGGCATGTATATGTGCTTTCTTGAGCAGGGGGACCTTGCGGGCGCTGCAGGATTTCAGTCCTTCACGGCGTAGTGTGTTACCAATTGTTTTCTTGGTGACTATGGTCCCAGCTGCCTTGAGATCATTGACAATATCCTCCCGTGTAGTTCTGGGCTGATTCCTCACCGTTCTCATGATCATTGCAACTCCACGAGGTGAGATCTTGCATGGAGCCCCAGGCCGAGGGAGATTGACAGTTATTTTGTGTTTCTTCCATTTGCGAATAATCGCACCAACTGTTGTCACCTTCTCACCAAGCTGCTTAGCGATGGTCTTGTAGCCCATTCCAGCCTTGTGTAGGTCTACAATCTTGTCCCTGACATCCTTGGAGAGCTCTTTGGTCTTGGCCATGGTGGAGAGTTTGGAATCTGATTGATTGATTGCTTCTGTGGACATTTGTCTTTTTATACAGGTAACAAACTGAGATTAGGAGCACTCCCTTTTAAGAGTGTGCTCCTAATCTCAGCTCGTTACCTGTATAAAAGACACCTGGGAGCCAGAAATCTTTCTGATTGAGAGGGGGTCAAATACTTATTTCCCTCATTAAAATGCAAATCAATTTATAACATTTTTGTCATGCGTTGTTCTGGATTTTTTTGTTGTTATTCTGTCTCTCACTGTTCAAATAAATCTACCATTAAAATGATAGACTGATCATTTCTTTGTCAGTGGGCAAACGTACAAAATCAGCAGGGGATCAAATACTTTTTTCCCTCACTGTATCTTTTATGCCTTCATGTTTGATCATTTGTTAGAACTTACATTTGATGATCTTTACAATCCACACAGTCAGTCTTTCCCTGCAGGTAAAGTGAATACTGTACCTCTGTTATGTTGTCTCTCTCAGGTATAGTGAACGTTCTGTATCTGTTCTGTGCTGCTCTGACGGAACACAAGATCCTGTTCCTGTCCAGCAGCTACCAGAGACTTACAGACGCCTGCAGAGCACTACTGGCCATCATGTTCCCCCTCAAATACAGGTAGGTGTGTGACTGTGTGTGCATGACTGTGTGAGTGTGTGCGTGACGGTGTGTGTGTGTGTGTGGTTGTTTTTGTATGTGTTTTTCATTGTAAAATACATTCATAGGTGTCTTAATGTAGTGAATTTACAGGGATTTGATTAACAAGATAGTGGTCTGTTAGTTTGGGGAATTTTATGATTTCCTCACACTTATCATATCGTCTCCTAATCTGATTCCTGGTCAATCTGATGCCCTCTTGTTTCCCTCCCGTCAGTTTTACGTACGTCCCCATCCTGCCAGGGAAACTCTTGGAGGTGCTGAGCACACCCACGCCTTTCATCATCGGGGTCAATTCTTTCTTCCGTTCCGAGACCCAGGAACTGGTGGGTAGCATGACCGTATGTCCCAATCTACAATACTTCTTTTGATTTTATTTTCTATATAATGTTTATATAGTCTCGTCGGTCTATGCATCTGTAAAGCCTATCTGATGACAGTAAAGACCTTCTTCATTCTGTGTTGCCCCCCCCATACTTTGACAGACTGTAGTACGATCTTGATTACTAGATATAATGTGTTTGTCAGTTCTCTGGGCCCCCTTTCCTTATCTATAATTAATCTCACTCCACAACCCAGACCTCCTGTGTTCTAGCAATCGGAAACCTCTGTTGCCTTAGATTCCTCTCAGCACTAACACAACGGTCTTTGTAAACCGTGCCAAGGTATACCTGACATGTAAATTAAATATATTTTCTTCCATATTCCGTGGAATGTTGGATGACTTTGAAAGAGTTTCCTGTTATTAAGGACAAACTAATGATTTAAGATGAATAATACTAATAATACAGTTTGTATATCGCTTTTCATTAGTTATCTCAAAGCTCTGAGGATTTTTTTTATAAATTATATACAATATAAACAACATACATTTAGAATCAAGGCAGGTGAAATGGCAACAGTGGGCTAGGTGCTAAATACATTTCAAATTGGGACTAGGACTATGAAAAGACAGTCATTAGTCTGTTTCTGGGGTCTAGGTTAGTGTGCATTAAACTACATGTGGTCCCTCGCCATGCTTTGTTATGTAATGACTTTAACAACGGACTGCCTGTCTGTATAATATAGTATACTATACAGTCACATGGCTTCGATAGATCGATTGATGATGGAGTGTAAGGGGTCAGGAGTGAGAGGTTATCGCCTTGGCAACCCCAACTGCCTGTTAAAAGGTACATTTCACTGCTGCAGTAGGTAAAGTGCTGTAATGAACAGCTGTTGACAAAGTGTTTGTGTGTGTCTGTGGCGCTGTCAGTCACTACCGTTATCATTCAGCAAACTTAGCGTCATCTACAGAATGCAGTATAGTGCTTTCTTATGAGATCTATCAAAGATATCGTACTGACTGAGCCGCTCTTGTGTGTTGTGTTCTACAGTTGGACGTGATCATCGCTGACCTGGACGGAGGCACGGTGACCATCCCTGAGTGTGTCCACATCTCCCTGCTCCCCGACCCCCTCCTCCAGCAGACCCAGACCGCCCTCTCCATGGTAACCACCATGACAACAACACTCCCACCCTTCAGACTTCTACACCTTCACTTCATACAGCTACATCAGCGTCACCAATACCAATACAACACTACCACATTAACCTGAACCATGTACAGCTATAGTCGTTTAACAACAGCACAACACTGAGACTTTGATCTACTACTTCCACACCAACTGAACCAACTCTTTGCCAGCACAATCTGGAAATTCATCTTCTCATCTGTAGTTATTGTTCAAATAAGATCCATGTTATGTAAAACGAATCAGATTTCCTGACTGGGCCTGCTTATCATTGGTATCTGCTGGCTGGTTTATGTTTTTGTTTGCATGTTCCTACGTGGAGTAGAGGAGAGCCATGCCATAGCTTTCCCATCAATAGCTACAGCTGACAAATAGCAGGAGATGTTATTTATTGAATGACTCATTTGATATTGTAAGCAATCATGTGTTTGTGGGAAATTCCATTGTGAGATCACAATCTTAAATTCTAATTGTAAGAAATCGGAATTACCATTACACACCCCTATAAAACAATATAATATTTTACAATATTTAAATTACGCATGAGAGACAACTATAAAAACAATGCAGTCATAAACTCTTCATGAGGATATGTCTGTTTTAGTTTCAGAATTGGTGTGAGTTTGTACGTGCCAGGGTGAGACGGGGCTTACTGTAATGCACAGGTCCAATAAAGAATTATGAAAGAATGGATCTTCCCAGCTTCAATGAATGAAATGATACTACAATCTGCAGCCAAACGAGGAGTTATTTGTTTGCCTGAATGACATTGGCATTGATTCCCACAGCCCAAACATAGTGTGTGTTTGTGTTAACAGAGTTGGACCAGAGGGAGAAGATTAATCATAGAATCTGACATGCTGTCCCACATGAGAAATATTTGGGAACATATTATTCCCTAGATTAAAATGTCTTCCTCCCCTCATTTCTTAATCAGGATAAGAGTCAAAGTTGTATGTTGCCGGATAGACATTGACCGGAATTGCTCAAAATGCACATTTCACTAGCCTTTTGGCACTTTTCTTAACCATTATAGAAGAAAAACATTTGTGGTTGTTTTCTGACACAAGTCTGGGGTAAATTATATTTTAGTACATGTAACAGTATACAGTGTTTATGCTTTTGTAATTATCCAAGGCTGTCTGTCTGTCTGTCTGAGGCCTATGGGCTTTATCTCAGGCCGGTCTCTTTGATCTCTATTGGCTGGAGGGCATGAAACATGAGCCATACTCGATCTGCACGGTTATTAGTCAATCTGTTACGGCAAGACTGGAGAGGAGGGAGGGAGGGACATAAATGAGGAGGGAAAGGCTAAAGAGAGAGAATGAGGGTTAGGCTGTTAGTGTCCTCTTGGTCAGAGGGACAATGAAAAGGACCTGCTCCTAAACCAGTATACATTTTCATTGTCCTTCATTACCATGTTTAAACATTCCTTGATGTTTGATGAACAACAGTGGAAAGAGCTAGGTACCAGCCAATACCTGCTCTGGTGAGTAATAGGGACTGTAAAGTTGTTCCATCTCAGAACAACCAGTCCTGTGATGTGACCCGACCCATTCTACAATACAATATACAGGCCTCTCTCTCTTCCCTCTGTTCTGTCCTCCTTTCTTTCCTTCCCCCGTCTCCCTCTGTCCTAACCTGTGTGGGCCATAGAGACTTGTAGTGCTGGCCCGGTGACCCTGCATGGCTGGAATGGGAGACTTGGGCTGGACCAGAGCCCTGTAATGCAGGGAGCATTTCACTGGAAGTCCTAGTCCTCTGTTGAGTCAATAAAACACTTTGTGTGACGTGTATGCACACATGCGTCCTTCCATAACCAATGAAGCACAGTGTGTGTGTGTGGTTTTGTGAATGTGTGTGTGTGTGTGTGTGTGTGATTGTGGGGTCCATTCTGCCCTGCATTTGTCTGTCTGCACTGTCTGTCTCCGTATGGCGCCAGCTCCAGGACCCATGGCCCTGTCAGTCTGGATGGGTTCTGACCTGCATTGTCAGGGAAAGGACACATTTCCCCAGCCCCAGTTCCAGCCTCAGCCCCCCAGCCAGCTCACATAACATAACAGGACTGAGTCTAAGTGACCCTCACCCAGACCAGCACAGAGAGGATAATTGCAGAGCGTGAAAAGCGATAGGTTTTGCAACTGGAGGGATAGTTAACTTTTCTAGATGATTTAACAAATTATGTGGGGCGGTGTGTGTGTGTGGAGGGGGGTGGTGGGTGAAGGTTGTTACAGTGATGCTTCTAGAGATAGTTTGTAGCAACCGTTGGATGTTGGCTTAGCTAGGTACTCTGCTGCTCTCTTAACGATTAGCTGAATGAATTCACCTCACAATCCCCAAACATAAATAGGACTTTGAATAGGAGATACTGCAGCTAATTTAGTTAATGGGGGTCTGCTGCTTAGTCTGAAGCCACATCTGTCTCATTTATGAGAGGGGCTTCTAAGAATTCACATCTTCTTAAAAGCCACTGACATCATATTGTAATTTATGATACCCGATGAAGCAGTGTCCAAAAGCCAAAATATAGCAGCAGTTGCTGTAGGATTTATGTACTGTATAATATTGATGAACTGAACGGATGTAATGAGAAGACTGTTAGATGATATTTCTGTCCATGTTGTTGTAATGTGACTCCTGCCATCTTGTGTTTGTAGGTGTTGGACCCAGAGCTGGAGATAGCGGACCATGCCTTCCCCCCTTCCTCCACACAACCCTCCACACTCAAGGTCCAGGTAATGTAGAGCCCCTCTATCCTCTGTGGAAAGTGTGTGAATGTGGGTGTGTGACTCAACAAATTATTTAAATGTATGCACTCGCTACGGAAAGTCGCTCTAGATAAGAGCGTCTGCTAAATGACAATGACGTAACTGCGAGAAACTCCCTGTCCCTTTGTTTGGGGCAACGCTCCATCAGCAGCAAGGTCTCTGGATTTCTGAGCTTTCCCAGGCTTACTGTCCAGCTGTCCCGTACTTTCCCCTCAGTATGTTATAATTCCCTATCTGTGTGTTGCAGGATAAGGAGATCCGGGCGGTGTTTCTGTGGCTGTTCGGCCAGCTGTTCCATGGCTATCGCTGGTGTTTGCACATCATCCGGATCCATCCTGAACCAGTCATCCGCTTCCATAAGGTACACATCACCCTCTACCTCTCAGAACCTAATTCCTAAGGTGATATATTACGTTGTGTTCATACTAACCTAAAACTAACTACGGCCTTTATGAACATAATGGAATAGATCACTTTGTCTGTCTGGAGGAGAAATACATTTTGCTCTAAACAGACCTGCAAACTGTCTGTTTTGAGTCTAACACTTAGAGTGGAACCCAATAATCTCAGGCCTGACGAGTGTGTGTTTTCCTCCAGGCTGCGTTCCTGGGCCAGAGGGCTCTGACTGAGGATGACTTCCTGATGAAGGTTCTGGACGGTATGGCGTTCGCTGGGTTCATATCGGAGAGAGGGCCGCCTTACAGACCCACAGACCTGTTCGATGACGTGAGTGTCCCCCCCCCCCACACACACACACACACACACACACACACACACACCTTCCCAATCAGTGGGAAAGAAGGAAAAAGTATTCTAACTTCCTGTTTCTTTTCCTGTGTCTACAGCTGATAGCCAATCAGGTGGAGCGTATTCGCCAGGAGGAGTGCAGCCCGCACAAAGTCATGAACCATATCAAGGAGCTGGCCGAGCAGCTCTTCAAAAACGTATGTTGTGCATAAAAAAATTAAAACATATTTGATTTATTTGATTTACAGATGTAGGATCTTAAGAGAATTTATGCTGATGCGCTTCGTGATTTACGTAAAATTCACTGAAAACCCACACTAACGTGGTTATTTTAACACTATTGGCCAGGGTTGTGGGTTTGTTTCCCACGGGGGGGCCAGTATGAAAATGTATGCTGATTCTGAAATTAATAAAATCACATTCATTTATTCAACATTAAAACTACTATTCATATCTCAAAAGTACCCTTTTTGATGTAGTTATTTTTAGACATTATTTGGAACTATACTCTTAAAACACAGCAAGTTTCCAGTATGGGCTCTCTGCTACTTTTGAAGAAATTATCAATTTTATACATAGCAATTGACATTATAGGTCATTAACCAATCACAGCCTCCTGTAGCAAAGGGAGTTCCCTTTGAATTCATTTTACCATTCACTGTGTTGGTGGTGCTCATAACATTTATCATAACTTTAAAAGTAGCAGAGAGCCCACTCTGGAAATGTGATTTACTTGTAGACAATGTTCCCTCTAAGCTCTGCGCGTGCGCAGGTGCGCAGCTCCCCGGGACTGCCGCGCAGAAGAAATATCAGCTTGCGCGGAGAAGCACGAGATTGAACTTCACTCAACTTTCTAGTTTTCCCCTTTAGTTAACACTATCAATGACAGGCCAATGCTCTACACAGACCGGTGCGCCATAACCAATCAGAGCTGCAGTATCCCTATATGCAAATAGATCATTGCCATATATGGATCTGTGCCATTCCCTTTGAACTGGACTGTGTTTACAGCATGAGTGGTTGTGAGTAGATGTGCTTGTTTTGCATGTGTCCAGGTGTGTACATTTGTTCATTTTCTTGGCTATTAAGTGAGTTATTAGTTATACCACATTTCTAGTCAGCAATGGTGGAGTGGTTGCTTCCTACAAGAGCACAAAATGTGTGCATTTCTAGCCAATAGGCAGAGGATAGCATAATTTGTGTGATTCTCTGTAATAATGGTATGGGAATAATAATGCATTTTATTTTGTATCAAACAACACAACATTTTCAGTCACCTCCTTGTCTGAAGGACAAGTGCATAAACAGGTTAATGGCAATCCCTACATGTTTTTTTTTCAAAAGTCTCATGGTATGTAGGCCTACATTGAACACCACACATTGGCTGCTACTGTACTGATAGGCCTACATATGATCAAATAGCCACAGTAGCCTACTTGGCCACTGTTATAACTGTAACTTGAAGCGGATACAGCCTCAGTGTTCACAGTAAACACGCGCAAGAAGTTGCGCTCAGCAGACCTGAAATTTGTTCTGTGCCTAATTTCTTTTGAGGGAACATTGCTTGTAGAGTATATTGTTTAAAACAATGTCTAAAAATGAACAAAATCAAAAAGGGTACTTTTGAGATTTTAATATTAATAGTTTTAATGTTGAATAGATTCATGTGTAAAATTGTATTTCAGAATGTATCGATACTCCATATTTTACAGTATTCTATAAGGAGTATAATGATACAAGGTGTTGTCTGTATCATGTACGGTTTTTGGATCATTGGTCTTACAGGAGGCATGCATAGGTCTAAAAAGGGCCTGAAATTTTCACTTTCAGGATTTTCTCAAAATGGTTTGTGTTACAATGTACAAAGAGTATCAAACATCCTTCCTCCCAATTAAGTTTCTATGAACAATCTGAGATACCAAAAATATTTTCGGCCAACGCTGGCATGGAATCGCCCTATTGCACTTTTCATGTAGCCTACTTTTGGCCAGCTAATAGCCTAACCACCGATCAAGTAACTTTATGGACTAAGTGTTCAAATCCTGTTGCTGTGACAATATAGGTCAAATTAAGATCCTCCATCTGTATGTAATGTAGTAACTAAAATAACAGGAGACCACTTACCAATTTCTTTGCGCTTTCTCCCCCGTTATGGTCTCTCACCTTTTATTCTCTCCCACCAGGAGAACCCGTACCCTGCCGTGGCCATGCATAAGGTGCAGCGGCCAGCTGAGAGCCCTGGTCACAATGACCCCAAGAACTTGGCCATCTTTCCCCCGCTGGACGATGTCACGGTCCAGCTCTTCATCGACCATGCCGCCGCCAAGCTCAAGACCGCCCCACCCGTGGTCAAGGCCGAGCTCAGGGGCATGGTGCCCTCAGGACCCCCACTGGGTGAGTGTGCCAGGCTGGGTGGGAAAGACTGAGTGGAGGGGGTCGATGGGGGTAGTGGGGGGGTGGAGCGGTATAGGCTTGGGATGGTGGGATTAAATAGATGCCGTGAATGGACAGTTGAAAGACTGATGCAGACATTCCTTTTGGGTTGTGGGTTAGAAGTTAGCAGAGGTGCCAACATGAGATTGTGTCTGATGGATTGGCTTGATGTCTGGTCTAAAGAGGCTGATCCAGACACACAGTCCAGCAGACGACCAGACAGTTATTTCTGCAGTCCACCAGACTGTCCTCCGGTCTACCAGACTGTCCTCCGTACCACCAGACAGTCCTCTGTGTTAGGACAACCTCTCTGTGACCCATCTATCTCTCAGCATGGGGTTTAATTGAGCTGTATTCGGTGTAGATTCAGTGTAGACTGATGAGTGTGATGTAATAACCCCTGAGTCGTGTTGCTCCTCCAGGAGACATCGTGGACAGGCATGGTCATGTCCTGGCTAACAGTGCTCGCAGGCTGGAGGTGGTCAGGAACTGCATTACTTACATATTTGACAACAAGATGCTGGAGGCAAAGAAGGTGAGAGACAAGGCCACAACAGCATCTCTGTGCTCGGCCATTTTGGAATGATAAAAGTTGTTTGAAACTCCTTAGATGTTAAGAATTTATAGCTGATTTATAGCTAGTTTAGAGGTTTGACCTACATGATAGTCTAGTCATTTTTTATAAAAGCAAAATGAAGTTCCTGCACATAACACCTAACCATAAAATCTTCCTAAAGTTGGCATCTCCTAATATTGTTGTCCTGTGCTGCGCCCCCACCCCTAGCTGATGCCAGCGGTACTGCGGGCGCTGAAGGGCCGGGCGGCCAGGGTGTGTCTGACCCAGGAGCTCAACCAGCACGTCCTGCAGAACCGAGCTGTGCTGGATGACCAGCAGTTTGACTACATCGTCCGCATGATGAACTGCACCTTACAGGTACATGCTGACGCCCCCCCAAAATTCTCTGTCCTCTTATAGGACAGGGTGGTGCAAAATTGGTCCAGCGGGTTTGGCCGGCAGGGATGCGGGTTCGTTTCCCCACGGGGGGCCAGTGAAAAATTAAATAAATAAATAAACATGTATGCATTCACTACCTGTAAGTCGCTCTGGATAAGAGCGTCTGCTAAATGACTAAAATGTAATGTAAATGTAATAGTCAAAGTTCTATTGTATTCCAATCGGGTTCATTACATAGAGCGGCTGTATTGAAGGAGTTCAGAAAGCAATAACTAACTCCTTGGGACTTTTTCAAAACAGTACAAGGCTACCTATTTTTGCACTGCTATGGAGGCTTTTATATTTTCACATTATCATACACTGAATAATGTAGCCTAATCTGTGTTGTTTGCATGGCTGACATTGACCTCTATTCTCTTTCTACTCAGGACTGCTCCCACATGGATGAACACGGTATCGCAGCTGTCCTCCTTCCCCTGGTCACGGCCTTCTGCAGAGTAAGTCTACAAAACGTCACAAACACAAACAATCCTTATTCAACACGAAGAAACAAATAATTGTCCTCAAAGTGGTCTGTTTCTAAAGCTTCTGTGTGGCTGTGTGTTTGTGTCTGGCAGAAACTAGGCGCGGGCATCACCCAGTTTGCCTACAGCTGTGTGCAGGAGCACATGGTGTGGACCAACATGCAGTTCTGGGAGGCCATGTTCTACAGTGATGTCCAGAACCACATCAGAGCCCTGTATCTGGAGGTAGACGAGGGGGAGCAGCCCACCCCTGTAAGAACAGACCCTAAAACTTCAGAACAAGCAGAACCTTTTTAAGCTTATAGATGCAACTGTTTTTAAGCTAATGCTCCTGTATATTAGTATCAAACACAGCAATAAAAACATAACCGAGGCTTTTCCTTGATAATAGTACTTAGTCCTTGGAGTACATTCTTACATTGACCCCATCTGACGTTTCCCCTTCCAGTCCCACGGTCAGCAGGAGTCTGGTCCAGCAGCAGGAGGTCAGGAGCTGCTGGGTGCTCTGGAGTTGGCGTCAGAGCAGAGCAGGCTGTGGCCCACGCTCAACAAGGAGCAGCAGAGTGAGCGCGTGCAGAAGGAGGAGAGCACGGTGTTCAGCCAGGCCATCCACTACGCCAACCGCATGTCCTACCTGCTACTGCCCCTGGACACCAGCAAGAACCGCCTGCTCAACAGGTCCGGGATTGGGGACGTGGAGAGTGTTAGCAACAGCTACGTCACCAACAGGTACACCAACAGGTGAGGGGGACACACACACGCGCACACACACGACAACAGGGAGGCACACAGACAAACAAGCACACCCAACAGCTTCATCACATGTTAGAAACAGCTTATCAAACTGTGGGCAGCTTTGTAACATCTTACAATGGAACCAGCAACAAAATGATGCCTAGGGATAAGACTTTAACTTTGAAGTTGAAGCTCATATTGGTCATTCCTAAGATGCCTTTGTTTTTTTTTTAGCATTGCTGGCAGCATGGCGGAGAGCTACGACACAGAGAGCGGCTTTGAGGACGCTGAGAGCTCTGACGTGGCCAACTCCGTGGTACGCTTTATCAATCGCTTCGTAGACAAAGTGTGTAACGAGAGTGGGGTGACCAACGAGCACCTCAAGGCACTACACACCATGATACCAGGTAGGAATCTCAATTTTGTGTTTTCGGTGCTCATGTTGTGAACTTTTCTTGACAGATCATTGTTGTATTCATTAGGCACTAAATGGAAGAAAACTGACTGACAGGGAGGGATTCCCTGAACTTGTCCAATAAGAAACACTTGTTTTAGTTTTCCGTCGCAAAGCGTTTTGCTACTGTGTGCCCTAATGAATATGACCCAGGTTTTCTAGACAGTTCAAATTGTGTATTAGGAGTGAGTGTTAATTAGTTTTTCTCTCCCCTCCTGTGTTGCTCCACAGACATCGTTCAGATGCACATAGAGACGCTGGATGCAGTCCACAGGGAGAGTAAGCGACTGCCACCGATCCAAAAGGTAACCAATTCCTTATTTTACATTACGCTGGACAAACACCACGCAGAGCCCCGCCCCAGGCCAGCCCCGCCCAACCCCCTCTCCACCAATCTCTGCAGCTCAGTGTCACAGTGCCACGCCCACGGCAGGTACGTCTGTCCCAGCAACAGCACCATGTGTGACTCACACTACTATGCCTAAGCAGTGCATGCTGGGTGATGTAGTTCCCCTCCTCTCAGAAGCTGGGGTCTCGTTCAGTTGGAACTAAATGGGATAATTTTTTTTGAAAAGGAGGAGGTACTATCTGACTTTGTCCAATACGAAGAAGAACGTTGATTTTCTGTTTTCATTGCATTTTCTCCAGTTGGTGCCTACTGAACGTGAACCTGGTAGATGACTACAGCCTGAGCAGTGCATGCTGGAGATTGTTGTTCTAGGTGACCTGGTTGACTACAGCTTGTTTGGTCTGGTTGTTCTGTGGAGTGTTCTGCCAGCAGTTGGAGAGGGATGGTAGCTTAGCATGGCATCATCTGCATATCTGTTGTGTTAATGGAAACTTAGCAGTGTCCAAGCATATGCATCAACCAAGAGCTCAGGGATGCCCTGTATCAGATATCAGTCCAATTAAATCTCACCTTTTGTGAGTTTTCTGTGTTTATCCCATCTTATAATACCTCAGAGAGCGCCTCACATTTGACCTGATCCCACCTCCCAGAATGCTCTCTGTTTTTTCTGCGTGAGCATTCAGATCATATGAATTCCAGTTAAACCCTCCGAAGGAGCTGCACCCAGGGCGTCAGGTGTTGCACAACAGAATTTGAAATGGGTTACAAAACGAGTGCCTTAATTAATTTTCTATTATGAGTGGAGCTGCTCTGTTTGGTGTAGTTGCCCCAGTGCAGGCCTCTCCAGCGTTGCTGGGGACAGGAAATTATGTCAATGCTCTGAGCCAGATGGTCTATTGGTCTTTAACAGAAACTAGACCTGCCACTCTTCATACTTTGAATACCTCTCAAGGATGCTTTTAGATGATTTTATGAGAAAAATTTGAGGAAATATACAAATGGTTGTAAACATATTACCTCTTTCTAAGGGGAAAACTCTAAACCACTCAAAATTGCCATAATATGATACCGGTCTTAAGAGATTTGAATAGTTTTATATCGAACTTTATAAACATAACCACGTACAGTGAGGGAAAAAAGTATTTGATCCCCTGCTGATTTTGTACGTTTGCCCACTGACAAAGCAATGATCAGTCTATCATTTTAATGGTAGGTTTATTTGAACAGTGAGAGACAGAATAACAACCAAAAAATCTAAAATGTCAAAAATGTTATAAATTGATTTGCATTTTAATGAGGGAAATAAGTATTTGACCCCCTCTCAGAAAGATTTCTGGCTCCCAGGTGTCTTTTATACAGGTAACGAGCTGAGATTAGGAGCACACTCTTAAAGGGAGTGCTCCTAATCTCAGTTTGTTACCTGTATAAAAGACACCTGTCCACAGAAGCAATCAATCAATCAGATTCCAAACTCTCCACCATGGCCAAGACCAAAGAGCTCTCCAAGGAAGTCAGGGACAAGATTGTAGACCTACACAAGGCTGGAATGGGCTACAAGACCATCGCCAAGCAGCTTAGTGAGAAGGTGACAACAGTTGGTGCAATTATTCGCAAATGGAAGAAACACAAAAGAACTGTCAATCTCCCTCGGCCTGTGGCTCCATGCAAGATCTCACCTCGTGGAGTTGCAATGATCACGAGAAAGGTGAGGAATCAGCCCAGAACTACACGGGAGGATCTTGTCAATGATCTCAAGGCAGCTGGGACCATAGTCACCAAGAAAACAATTGGTAACACACTACGCCGTGAAGGACTGAAATCCTGCAGCGCCCGCAAGGTCCCCCTGCTCAAGAAAGCACATATACAGGCCCGTCTGACGTTTGCCAATGAACATCTGAATGATTCAGAGGAGAACTGGGTGAAAGTGTTGTGGTCAGATGAGACCAAAATTGGAGCTCTTTGGCATCAACTCAACGTGTTTGGAGGAGGAGGAATGCTGCCTATGACCCCAAGAACACCATCCCCACCGTCAAACATGGAGGTGGAAACATTGTTTTGGGGGTGTTTTCCTGCTAAGGGGACAGGACAACTTCACCGCATCAAAGGGACGATGGACGGGGCGAGAATCTTGGGTGAGAACCTCCTTCCCTCAGCCAGGGCATTTGAAAATGGGTTGTGGATGGGTATTCCAGCATGACAATGACCCAAAACACACGGCCAAGGCAACAAAGGAGTGGCTCAAGAAGAGGCACATTAAGGTCCTGGAGTGGCCTAGCCAGTCTCCAGACCTTAATCCCATTGAAAATCTGTGGAGGGAGCTGAAGGTTCGAGTTGCCAAATGTCAGCCTCGAAACCTTAATGACTTGGAGAAGATCTGCAAAGAGGAGTGGGACAAAATCCCTCCTGAGATGTGTGCAAACCTGGTGGCCAACTACAAGAAACGTCTGACCTCTGTGATTGCCAACAAGGGTTTTGCCACCAAGTACTAAGTCATGTTTTGCAGAGGGGTCAAATACTTATTTCCCTCATTAAAATGCAAATCAATTTAAAACATTTTTTACATGTGTTTTTCTGGATTTTTTTGTTGTTATTCTGTCTCTCACTGTTCAAATAAACCTACCATTAAAATTATAGACTGATCATGTCTTTGTCAGTGGGCAAATGTACAAAATCAGCAGGGGATCAAATACTTTTTTCCCTCACTGTAAATGTGTTGTATTTTCCCTTCTGCTTGTTTTACTTGTTGAGCCTCAGGGTTGTCTTTGCCAAGATCCCACCAGCCAATTGAAGATTTAGGCAAACCGTTTATGTTATGTAACATTTAACAAAAATAACAAATTGCAAGCGAATGTCTCCATTTCGATATGTGTCGTTTGATAAATGTATGCTTCAGCATGCTATCTGGATTGATGTGTGCCATTTTTTTGTGGTGAATTTGCTCTAGTTTGTTTTGAAATATAGAAGCACCAATGTAAGGATGGCTTATACATTTGAGTTCTGTTGGACATAAAGCACTAACAGCTCTTCTACTGTTTCTCTTTCCCCCTCATCTTTACCTACCTTGTCCTTCTACTCAATCTGCTTACTCTTCTCCTTCCATCAATTATCAACTCTTCTCGTTTCTTTACCCCACATCTACCTCTTCCTTATCTTCCTCTGCCCCCCCTCTCTCTTCTTGTCCCCAATCTCTTCCCCCTTTCCTCTTCTCTCCTTCACTCCTCCCTCTCTCCGTGCTGCAGCCCAAGCTTCTGAGGCCCATTCTTCTTGCGGGGGAGGAGCTGGTGATGGACGGCATGCGGGTGCACCTGATCTCAGACGGCCGGGAGGAGGCCACGGGGGCCATGGGGGGTCCACCCCTCCTCCCTGCTGAGGGGGCCATCTTCCTCACCACCTACCGCCTCATCTTCAAGGGCACGCCCAACGACCCGCTGGGTAAGAGGGTGTTGAAAACACACGTTAGCAGTAACACACACGCACTTTTCTCGCTAACCCTGAGTGTTGTTGCTGTGCAGTGGGTGAGCAGGTGGTGACTCGGTCGTTCCCCATCGCCTCCCTGACTAAGGAGAAGAGGATCTCTGTCAGTCTGTCCATGGACCAGTTCATACAGGAGGGTCTGCAGCTACGCTCCTGCACTTTCCAGGTACACCTCTACCCTCCTTCCTGCCAGCCTCATATCCATCACCCCAGAATGTCTGCCTTACCTACTGCCTAAACACCAGGCCCCCTTTATAGCTTCTCCCCCTCAACCCATCTACCCCCCCCCCCCCCTCCCCGCTCTCCTTCTGCATCGTAACTCTCTCCATTAAAAAATTGACAGAACATGAATTTCTGTCTCTCTCAGACACTCCTCCTAATATCTCTCTTCTCCTCCTGTAGCTGCTGAAGATAGCGTTTGATGAGGAGGTGGCGTCGGACCTGGCCGAGGTGTTCCGGAAGCACATGCACAAGCTCCGCTACCCCCAGCACGTCCAGGGAACCTTCGCCTTCACCATGGGCCAGAGTGGCAAGACGTTGGTCGAACACAAGACCAAGGACAAGAACCAGTCAATAAAGTAAGACAAGACCGAGATAATACACACTCACGTCAACCACAAGAACCAAAACAACCCTAAAAAGAAACAGTAAGGGCATGCACACGCCAAACATGCACATTTCGACACACATCAGCATTGTATAAAACTTCAGGACTGTTCCAGTTTTGTCGGCAGATCATTAGTAATGAGAAAGTGTAAATCTGTAAGACATTTCACACCTCTCACATCCTCCAGGTCAAGTACAGAACATCCAATTAAAAAGCAGTAGCTCACTAAAAAATGTGGGTCACAGATAACACCCCAGCTCTGTAAAATGAGCTGAATATACGGCCTGCCCCAAGCAGCACCCTCTGGAGATATAGTAGTCTACATTATTGCACTACATTTCATAGCCGTCCTGACAGCTTACAGAATATATCAAAACCTTTTTTTTATTTGACTTCTGATTTAAAGTCAGTGTTTGCTGTGATTATATTAATACAACTGGATGTATAGACTTTTTGCTTGCGAGTGTAAACGTTTGAGTGTGTGTGAGCCCTTGTTCATGTGTAACCACCAATGGTCCATGTAGCATGCACTGTTTAGTTCTGCTGGCTGCTCACTGACTTATTCTAGGCAGGGATAAGTACAGAGGAATGCAGCTTCACATCCTACACTCTATTCTATCCACTGTCACTGCCAGTAGACCCCCAGAGCTTGCGCACTCACTCACTCACTCACTCACTCACTCACTCACTCACTCACTCACTCACTCACTCACTCACTCACTCTCACAGCTGTTGAATAATGCAGCAGTGGAAACAGTGACGGCTCCTCCATGTTTGTCCCTGGTGTTTCCATCTCCTCCCCAAGTCGTCACGCCACTAAAACACTCCATTCATTCACTGATATTAACCTCACGACAATGCGGGCCCAACCCCCCTGCAGCAGTGAGCAGGCTCTGCTAGCAGTCTTTTAATGCATTCATGGACTTTAATTATGCATACAGACTACCACCGAGTCTGCTTTAGGGATGTGCCTTGGATTTAATGAACCGGTTAATTAAACTTCTAAGTACCCACTCGGTGCATTTGTACCTTTACATTTCTAACCAGGGTTGGTCACTTGACATGAAATGGAAGCAAATGGGCCGAAACAGGGATGTGCTATTTAAACTTGTTCAATAAGAAATGCTTGTTTTCATTTTCTGTTGCAAAGTGTTTCGCTACGGTGTGCCCAAATTAATATGACCCAGGAAGTAGACGTCATTAAGTTTTGCTTTAACTGCCCCTCTGTGTGTTTTGCTGTGGTCTTAAGTTAACTATGTTTTGAACCCTCTCTCCTAAGAACACTTTCCAAAAACCTGGTGAAGAGCGCCAAGAGGACGATCGGTCGACAGTATGTGACCCGGAAGAAATACTCACCTCCCACCTGGGAGAACAGGAGCAGCCAACAGTCAGAGCTGGACGAGGATGAGATCTCAGGTAGGCCATGGTGTTGACAACTCAAGTAGCATCGTCAAGGTTTAGGGCGGCATTTTGAATTGAGATCCACGCACCCATTCACATAAATACATGTTTTATGTAAAAGTCTTGAGTGTTAACTTTCAGCAATTAAAATGTTGATGGTCTGATGTAGTATGGTCAGTGTTTGACCTGATGTAGTAGGTCAGTGTTTGTCACTGTGTGATGGTCTGTATGTTCCTGCGTTAGGTCAGGTTTGACTGGATGCAGGGCTCCCTCACCCTCTCTTCACCATCCGCTCCTCGTGACGACTATATGTCCGTGTTGGCTGAGGCGTCGTGTTTGACCCTGCGGTATGGATGGGCACGCTCAGTAGAGCAGTTTGCCGATTAGTGGCATTTACCTAATGTAGTCACCGCTTACCGTGAGAGTAAGTTTGTACCCAGATGGATCAGTTTTTACGAGTTAAGTCATCTCTTGGACTCCCAAACGTCACTTGATACGCTAGATGCAGTTTATTCTGTGTAGAGGTAGTGTAGACTTTCCCTATAGCATTTTTAACCTAACCTAATTCTGCACTGACCTGAATAGTTCATGTTTTCACTTAGCAGACGTAGTTCTCCTAACCTGTGATAAAGTAATTCCAGTGGTAGCTGTATCGAAGTGGTGATTTTTGGATACTCAATTGTTTGGCTAGGTTATGGTCAATTAACGACCGTTGTCAGTAAGTGAACTGTTCTGAGTTTCAGTCTCTAGACCTGATTGTAGTGGTCTGTTGATTCAGTCAGTTGATCGTGATTTATATAAATAATTCAGTAGTTTACTTTTGAGTGCACGTTGATATGCAGAGGGCTATGACAAAGTATACCTAAACACATGGATTCTTGTGGTCATGATTTCAGTGACATGAACAGAATGTCCTCTGTTGCGACAGGTCCCTCACCCTCTCTTCCACCATCCGCTCCTCGGACAGACAGACCATGAGCAACGTGGTGGAGCGCGCCTGTTGCCGGGACTACCAGCGGCTAGGACTGGGCACGCTCAGTAACAGCCTGACACGCTCCAAGAATGAGCCCTTCCGCATCTCCACCGTCAACCGCATGTACACCGTCTGCAGGAGGTAAGTTCACGGTCCAACCGCAGATGGATCATGTTTTTACGACAGGTTCACAGTCAAATCTCATGTGGGACTCCCTAAAAACACGCCACTTAGATACAGCTACGACTAGAAGTTACTTTTTGTAGCAGGTTAGGAGAGCATTTTCCCTAACCATTTTCTTAACCTGAACCTAATTCTGCTAACCTGCTGCGTAAGTTTACATTTACATCATTTAGCAGACGTAAGTTCTCCTAACCTGCTATGAAAAAGTAACTTCCAGTGGTAGCTGTATCGAAGTGGTGTATTTTTAGGGAATCTCAATTGCATGTGGTAGGTTTATGGTCAAACCGTATACGGACCGTGTTTCAAGTAAGTAACTTTCTGAGTTTAGTCTCTAAGCACTGCATTCAGGTTGAGTGGCTTCTTGATTCAAGTACACGTTTGATCTTGACATTTATATAAATAAACATTCAGTAGTTTTACTTTGATGCAACTTGATATGCAGAGTGGGCCAATGAACAAACTATATTTAAACACATGACATTATCTTGTGGTCATGACATTCTGCAGTGACATGAACAGAATGTCCTCTGTCTCCCTCCCTCTGTCTCCCTCCCTCTGTCTCCCTCCCTCTGTCTCCCTCCCTCTGTCTCCCTCCCTCTGTCTCCCTCCCTCTGTCTCCCTCCCTCTGTCTCCCTCCCTCCCTCTGTCTCCCTCTGTCTCCCTCTCTCTGTCTCTCTCTGTCTCCCTCTCTCTGTCTCTCTCTGTCTCTCTCTGTCTCTCTCTGTCTCTGTCTCTCTCTCTCTGTCTCTCTCTCTGTCTGTCTGTGTGTTACCAGTTACCCCGGCCTGTTGATCGTGCCCCAGAGCATCCCAGACTCCACCATCCAGCGCATCTCCCGCTGCTACAGACAGAACCGTTTCCCTGTGGTGTGCTGGAGGAACTCTCGCACCAAGGCTGTGCTGCTGCGCTCTGCAGGCCTCCATGCTAAGGGAGTGGTGGGCTTCTTCAAGTCCCCCAATGCCCCCAGCGCCGGTACGACACGTACTAAAAGTTAGTTAGGTGGTGTCTTTAAGGGAATGTTGAGCTTTGTTTAGGAATAATAAAACACTCAAAAACACTCCAAAGCTAGCTATATCAGTAGCAATTTTATGGAAAAGTATAAGAATGTGATCGAGAAAGTCTCAGCTCATCAGAAACAATGAGCAAATAGGCAAACACTTTAGGTGCATTGAAATGCACAGCGCATGCCCCTTACAGCTTGAGCAGCATTTTTTAGTATTCAGCATTTTATACCCAGCATGCAAAGCTGCATAAACCAGTGGTGATTGACAGTTGTGACCCTTCCCCAGGCCCCTCCCAGGCAGACTCGACCAGCCTGGAGCAGGAGAAGTACATGCAGGCGATCATCAGCTCCATGCCCTCCTACAGTGAGCCCAGCGGCAGGAACACACTCAGCGGCTTCACCTCCACTCACATGAGTATCTCAGGTAGGACACACACACATCAGGTAGGACACACACACATCAGGGTTTCCGTTAGCCGGTAATAGCCGGCTTTTGGCCCAATTTTTCTTTTAATGACAAGCCAATGAATAAAATTGGCACCGGTAAATTGTCCCCCCAAATTTTTTTTTTTATAATCCCATTTCAAAATAATGCTTTTTAGCCTATTCATTGCTGGAAATACCAGTCGATGGAAATACATTTGACCGGTCATGCTTATCGGTCTATAGGTTAATTAGCCTAATTTAGTGGAATTAAATTGGCATGTGTGTATTTTCATTAGTTGTTATGATTCTTATTTATCACACGCACATAGAATACAGAGCATATTTTTTAGAGGAAAATCTGTAAGACAGTGCTGCTACAGCTCCTGTTGCTGCTGGAGTGAAATGTGATTTTATAAGCCCAATCATTGCACAACAATTCTAAATACAATCGCGTGTTAAAAACAGTTTTGATAGCCACCATTTAAAAATAGCTATTTTTTTTTCTCAACTGGTAATTGAAGCGTGCTTCCCATTCGCCATTCAAGTGCTTAGGCAACGGTAGGCATGGTTCAGCAGGTCACACCACTTTGCAATGTGAGCTGGAGATGGTATGCATTTTAAAAACATATACCTAATTGTGTGAAACCTTAACGTTTTACTTCATTATGAGGCATGTCTTGCCTTGTTTCAATGTAGCTGAGCCAAAATCTGTTTCTATAAACGTGGAGACACTTATTTTATAAAAATGTCCATATGCCAATGAAACAAGTATCCACATTTTCTCATGTTCTATTGGTTTTCAAATCAACTTTCTTTCATTGTCCAGTAGCCAAAAACACAATCCTAGTCATATTAGCAATCCATGCTAGTTGTTGCATCTTTAGATCTCCGATCTTTCTACATTTCTAATGGATATTGTAATCTCTGTCACATGAATCCGCTTGCATCTGCAGTGCACTTTCGGCAACTGTGTTTTCCCGCTAATTGCATTATAGAACGAGCATTAGCGAGTAGCCTATAACTGCCGTGTGCGCATTGCTGCGCTTATAATGTGAATAAATAATAGTTTATCAACATTTTAAGCGTTTTGTTCGGTGCATGAGCCTCAATGCTTTTTAAAGTTATTTTGATGTACTGGTTGTATGAATTTGGGATCTATCGTCCCAGAACTGTCCCAGAGTCAGTTTGGAATCGGCTATTTCTTTCTCACACAGAGCGACAAGCTGACCAATAGAATAGGTCAACTTTTCTACAATGGGGGACAGTAGATTGACACAGGCTAGTGATTTTCCTGTTCGTTACTCGTCTTGTTGGCTGAGGAAAAGTAAATGTGGACAGTTATTCTAACATCTCATTTAGCAGACGCTCTTATCAGAGCGACTTACATTAGCAATTAGGGTTAAGTGCCTTGCTTAAGGGCACATCGACAGATTTTTCACCTAGTCGGCTCGGGATTAGAACCAGCGACCTTTCGGTTACTGGCACAATGCTCTTACCCACTAAGCTACCTGCCCCACTACATCTTCAAAGTGCGCTTTGGAACTCGGAAGGACGCACGCCGCTGCATCCTCGAGTTGCATATTCTGTTAAAGGCATTACCATAAACTAAATGGGATTTCAGTCATTCTGAGCAGCGTGGCTGGACACCCTAATCAGGTTACGCACCCAACGCATATAGGTCTGGTAAATTTAAAATGCTGTCGATCAAATGTCCGGGGACACATTTTCCTAACGGAAACCCTGAAACACACACCAACACACACCCTCTCTTAAGCCAGAGTTTGTGACCTTTTGCTTGTGTCTATCTCCAGACTCGTCAGATAAGCTGAGGCAGCCTAAGATCGGAGCTCTGATGAAACAGGTGATGGGAGGCAAGGAGGACATACCTGGAACCTTCAGCCGCGGAGGTGAGATAATGGTTTTACTTTGTGTGTATGTGGTTGTGTTCCTTGCATCAATTAGTTCATTGAAACTTCCTTTTCAAGGAATGTCTCATATTTATAGGTTTGGGATTGTATTGTGGCTTGCCCTACAATTACCTGCCAAGGAACGTTTACTGGAAGTAATTGACATGCGAGTGTGTTTTAACCCAAAGAGGAATGGTGGTTATGTTACCTTAATAATAACCCATCTCCATAGCTTATCCACATTTGGGCCTGTGTGTATGTATAGCTGTGTGAAACCATCTCTCCCTATGGTCTATGGTGTTGGTTAACGGGCATCATCTCTGTGTCATTTGACCTCAGCTCTGGGTCAAAGGGCGAGGGTCATCTCCCTCTCTCAGCCCAGAGTTTCAGGCAAGGCCAGAAACCCCCCTGGAGGTACAGTATGCACCGACCACTGGCTCCCTGTCTCCCCAATCTAACCAATCAGGTCTCTTAACAGTGACGGTCTGTCTGCGTTGGCTGGCGCCCCCGTCCGTCAGTCCTTTTTTTCCCTGTGATGTCCTAGTGTGTGTGTGTGTCTCTCTCTCTCAGGACTAACTTTTTGTTGTCCAATCTCTTTGATGGAGAGCTTCTCTTCTTCTTTCAAGGCGTCTGTTTGCATGCTGTTCTAGTGGGCCGTCGACTCTACACACACTCTGCTGCAGATCCTCGTGTTTGTCCATGTTTCTGTTCTGTGTTTGATTACTACTGTGTGCTGTGAGTGGTCTGATGACTCATGTTTTTCCAGCGTTGTTTGGTTTGGAGCATCATTTTCACATAGACTATTTAGCAAATTAGATCAATCTTACTATAGTAGTTGTTCAATTATTTCTACCTTAGGTAACTCTTATCAGCATGGCTTTCAGTTAGTCTAGTGGTATGAAGTACAATGAATGTATGTGCCACTGCATATATGGCTTGTGTGTGTGTTGATAATGGCAGATTTGGAGAGAGGATTGGAGAATGTATACTGTATGTGTGTGATAACCTCTACATCTATGTGTGTGATAACCCCCTTTAAAACCTCTACCTGTATGTGTGTGATAACCCCCTCTAAAACCTCTACCTGTGTGTGTGTGATAACCCCATTTAAAACCTCTACATCTATGTGTATGATAACCCCCTTTAAAACCTCTACATCTATGTGTGTGATAACCCCCTTTAAAACCTCTACCTGTATGTGTGTGATAACTCCATTTAAAACCTCTACCTGTATGTGTGTGATAACCCCTCTAAAACCTCTACCTGTATGTGTGTGATAACCCCCTCTAAAACCTCTACCTGTATGTGTGTGATAACCCCCTCTAAAACCTCTACCTGTATGTGTGTGATAACCCCCTCTAAAACCTATACCTGTATGTGTGTGATAACCCCCTCTAAACCCTCTACCTGTATGTGTGTGATAACCCCCTTTAAACCCTCTACCTGTATGTGTGTGATAACTCCATTTAAAACCTCTACCTGTATGTGTGTGATAACTCCATTTAAAACCTCTACCTGTATGTGTGTGATAACCCCCTCTAAAACCTCTACCTGTATATGTGTGATAACCCCCTTTAAAACCTCTACCTGTATGTGTGTGATAACCCCCTCAAAACCTCTACCTGTATGTGTGTGATAACCCCCTCTAAAACCTCTACCTGTATGTGTGTGATAACCCCCTCTAAAACCTCTACCTGTATGTGTGTGATAACCCCCTCTAAAACCTCTACCTGTATATGTGTGATAACCCCCTCTAAAACCTCTACCTGTATATGTGTGATAACCCCCTCTAAAACCTCTACCTATATGTGTGTGATAACCCCCTCTAAAACCTATACCTGTATGTGTGTGATAACCCCCTCTAAACCCTCTACCTGTATGTGTGTGATAACCCCCTTTAAACCCTCTACCTGTATGTGTGTGATAACTCTATTTAAAACCTCTACCTGTATGTGTGTGATAACCCCCTCTAAAACCTCTACCTGTATATGTGTGATAACCCCATTTAAAACCTATACCTGTATGTGTGTGATAACCCCCTCAAAACCTCTACCTGTATGTGTGTGATAACCCCCTCTAAAACCCCTACCTGTATGTGTGTGATAACCCCCTCTAAAACCTCTACCTGTATGTGTGTGATAACCCCCTCTAAAACCTCTACCTGTATATGTGTGATAACCCCCTCTAAAACCTCTACCTGTATATGTGTGATAACCCCCTCTAAAACCTCTACCTGTATATGTGTGATAACCCCCTTTAAAACCTATACCTGTATGTGTGTGATAACTCCATTTAAAACCTCTACCTGTATGTGTGTGATAACCCCCTCAAAACCCCTACCTGTATGTGTGTGATAACCCCCTCTAAAACCTCTACCTATATGTGTGTGATAACCCCCTCTAAAACCTCTACCTGTATGTGTGTGATAACCCCCTCTAAAACCTCTACTCTACCTGTATATGTGTGATAACCCCCTCTAAAACCTCTACCTGTATATGTGTGATAACCCCCTCTAAAACCTCTACCTGTATATGTGTGATAACCCCCTCTAAAACCTCTACCTGTATATGTGTGCTCCAGGGAAGTGGGGCAGTATCCGGGGCAGTGGGCGTCTGAGTGCCTACAACCCAGAAGTGGGGAACAGGCTGTCCAGTAAGGAGTCTCCCCAGCCCAACGGGGGCCCCAGCGAGGCCTGTTCCTCAGACAGCAGAGGGCCTACCTCTACATCATCGGAGACAAGACACAGCTCAAGGTAACTGCCAATACATAACACTACACTAGACTGTCTACTGATTTAACATCGATAAAGACTCAATATCCCAGAAGTCTTTGGAGGTCTTTGTGTCATTGAACCTTGACCCCTGTTTGTCCCATGTCAAAAGGGTGGGAAGCAGGACTCGTTCCAGCAGTGGGAGGTGGTGCCCATCGAGGTGTGCGACGTGCGGCAGGTGAAGAACAGCTTTAAGAAGCTGATGAAGGCCTGTGTTCCCAGCTCAGCCACCTCTGAATCCAGCATGACCTTCCACCGCTGCCTGGAGGAGTCCGAATGGATGTGCCTGGTAATGCTCTCATTCATACAGTGTGTGTGTGTTAGCGTGTGCAACTGTAAAAGTGTATGTATTGTGAGAGAGCGAGACCTATGGATGCATTTGGTTTACGTGTGTTCATTGCAATGTGTGTATGATTTTAAGTGTGCTTATCATGCCGTGTGTGTCCAGCTCCACAGGGTTCTGCAGGTGTCTGTCCTGGTGGTAGAGTTGTTAGATACAGGCTCGTCAGTCATGGTCAGTCTGGAGGACGGCTGGGACGTTACTACTCAGGTATGACATCAACACACTAACTCACTAAACATACTCACAATGCAAACACACACACCTCTCACAGCTAATGTAGGTCACCTTGTGTGTATATATGTGATGCATTGTCTCAACCCTGTCTCTGCCTTTGCTAACGGTCTGTCTGACTGCCTGCTTGTCTCTCTGTCTCCTCACTCCGCTGTTTAGGTAACCTATAAATTACAGTCATCCTATCTGACTATCGCACCGACTCTGTGTCTCTCTCTAGGTGGTGTCTCTGGTCCAGCTTCTGTCAGACCCATACTACCGGACCTTGGATGGCTTCCGCCTGCTGGTGGAGAAGGAGTGGCTGTCGTTTGGCCACAGGTTCAGTCATCGCGGTGCCCAGACCTTGGCCAGCCAGAGCAGCGGCTTCACACCTGTCTTCCTGCAGTTTCTCGACTGTGTGCACCAGGTATGTACGTGTGGGGTTTTGTGAGTACAGGTATGACAGTAGTGTTATTATTACACACATAGGGATGTACACTGAGTGTACAAAACATTTAGGAACACCTTCCTAATATTGAGTTGCACCCACTTTTGCCCTCAGAACAGCCTCAATTTGTCAGGTCATGGACTCTACAAGGTGTCGAAAGCATTCCACAGGGATGCTGGCCCATGTTGACTCCAATGCTTCCCACAGTTGTCAAGTTGGCTGGATGTCCTTTGAGTGGTGGACCATTCTTGATATACACGGGAAACTGTTGAGCATGAAAAACCCAACAGCGTTGCAGTTCTTGACACACTCAAACCGGTGCGTCTGGCACCTACTACATACCCCGTTCAAAGGCCCTTAAATATTTTGTCTTGCCCATTCACCCTTTTAATGGCACACATACACAATCCATGTCTCAAGGCTTAAAAATCCTTCTTTAACCCGTCTCTTCCCCTTCATCTACACTGATTGAAGGTGGATTTAACAGTTGACACCAATAAGGGATCATAGCTTTCACCTGGTCAGTCTATGTCATGGAAAGAGCAGGTGTTCCAAATGTTTTGTTTTCTCAGTGTATATGGGTCGTTCCACGAAATGAGTGCCTTTTGCGTACCTTTGATATTTTACACAAATATTTAATTTGAAAAACCTATTGTATTAAATGAAGAGCCCTTTAATATTGAGCACATGGAAAATTCAATAAATCTGTGCATCCTCTTTTGACTTCTAGGAATATTTTAACCCACTTAATCACAACATTTATCCAAGTTTTCAACATCATTGTAAAGCACTAGTTATTTTGTTACTTTGATAAAGTCATTTCTGAAGATTAATATTTATGTCGTGATTAGTGATTCATTTTAAGGAGGAAAATAAAGTTCTGTCCTTCATTTTAAGGCCAACCATGTTACGTGAACTGAACTCTCGTTTAAAAATGTTTATTAAAAAGAAACATTGAACATCTAATAATAGTGTAAAAGCAGGTGAGCTCATTCTACTCTGTTTGGCCATTTTCTGGTGTTTTGTGGTGGAAAACTGAGTGGGTATAGCATAACATGTCAACCCTGTTACCCATACAAAGACGATCTAGGAAATGTTTAAACAATTTTAAAAAATTGGCGAAGCTTGCATTGCCCCTGTCACAAGGGGATTTATGGATGTTTTAAGACTTACTAAAGTCATTTTTGTATTTAACCTCTTGAGAATTGCTCTTTATAACAATGTTAAAATTAGGTGAAATAAAAAGGTTAATTTCACTAAGTTACACTACTCAAAAGGCACCTAATTGGTAGAATGACCCATATCTCACTAGGATCCTTTCTTTAGTGTTTTTCCTCATCTTTAAATAGTCTTCTTCATGTAAACTATGTTACAAAGCTCAGCCAATAACTATTAACCTGGATCAAATATTTCCAGAATGTAATCGGATGAGTACGCTACGTCCGACCATCCTGTTATATGGATGTGCTAGAACAGATTATTTAAAAGTTTTAACATTTCTTCAAACCCTCTTTTAACCCTTCATCCAAACATTTGTTTGAGAGAGTGCAGTCTGCTGACTCTGTGGCCTTTTCTCATTTGGGCAAAAGTCTGTCCTAAGTGGTCGAGTGGTACAGGAGCGTGTCAATTTGAAGGGTAGGCAAATGGAATTGTCCTCCCCTCCTTGAAAGCCACCTTTCATCGAGGATAGTCTTATGTATCCTACCTGAGTTCTTCGCAAAATAGTTTTGAAATATGCCACACCCCCTTTGAATCATATTGTATTTTTTCAGAGGAGAAAAGCATATATACACGTTTTAGTAGCATATTGTTTTTATCTATAAAATGTCTTGCACAACTAGATACATTTGTTTAATCACTTTACACATTTATTTTGGGATTCCAGCCCTGTAAATGGAGTGGAGGAGAGTCTAATTTCATACAAGCGCATTTTCGTCCACGTTCCTTCTCCTCACCGCCTCTCCTCGATTACCTTTGACCTTTTTCAAAAGGAGGCGAGAGAGGACACAGGAGTTTAGCAAATCTAATTGAGAAAAGGCCAGTGAATGTTTGACGATCAGGAAGTTGAGCAGTAAACACAGGAAGTGCAACTGACGTGTTACCTTAAATCCTGTCCCCCCTCCTCAGATCCACCTTCAGTTCCCCATGGAGTTTGAGTTCAGTCAGTACTACCTGAAGTTCCTGGCCTACCACTACGTGTCCAACCGCTTCAGAACCTTCCTGCTCGACTCGGACTACGAACGCATCGAGCTCGGTGAGCCTTTTCTCCATTCTACAGGGCAGGAGTTTTTCCTTATCACATGACCTATCTCCAGATTCAGGTTACATGGTTAGGAGAAACTCCAGACCCCATAGATACTATCTGAATTCTTATAAGTAGGTTATTTCAGTACACTTTGAGGTATTTAAGTGTAACTTGTATGCCAGTTGAGTGATTGGAGTGGGTTCAGTGAGTTGATAAACCTTCCGTCTGTGTTAAGGGGTTCTGTACGAGGAGAAGGGGGAGAGGAAGAACCCACAGGTGTGTAAGTCAGTGTGGGATTACATCGACCGGCTCAACAAGAAAACACCTATCTTCTTCAACTACATGTTCTCACCAGAGGATGAGGAGGTGAGTGAGCCTGGAACACTACTGGGTTACGTTAGACTGCCCCCTGGTGGGGAAGTTTACAGAAAATTCAAGGGGAGGTTTAGTTTTACGATCTTAGACTTGACTTAAGATATACTAGCTGATATTGTAGTTAGAATTATTACTTTTAATCACATAAATGATGCACGATTAGTGGTAACAAAAAAATCCATGTGGTCATTTACTAGCTAAATCCCTCAATGTGTTTTTACAATTTTCTCCCCCCAGGTGTTGCGGCCGTACAGCTTCATCTCCAACCTGAAGGTGTGGGACTTCTACACAGAGGAGACGCTGTCTGAGGGCCCGTCGTACGACTGGGAGCTGGTGCAGAGGGGCCGGCAGGAGAGACTGGCTGAGGAGGTGCCTGACAAACCAGACACCACCACCCCCAAGTCCCAGAGACACATCGTCTGGCCCTGCTACGACAGCCGCAGCAGAGTGGTACCCGACGCCATCACCAAACTGCTGCAGGTTAGTGGAGATATACTTACACACATTACATACCATCACCATACTGCAGTAGTCCCTGTATAACCCTAACTTTTTGTATAAATGCTTATACATGAATCTGACTTGCTCTGTGTATTCTGTCCTAGGACCTGCAGAGTCTGGAGGCTGAGTTGGGGCTGCCACCAGAGAAATGGAAGGACACTTGGGACAAGATCAAGGCCAACCAACGGGGCGAGGCCAAGCTGGAGAACAGGGTGAGAAACGCTGGACAACCAGCAGCTAACCTAGGGTTTCACTGGCTATTAGGATACCATCCTGCTGACACTTTTTGAAGATTATTTGAAAATAACTTTTTGTAGATTTATAGTAATGTGTTCTACTGACCTCTAGTGGTAAGATGATAGAAACGCTACTTTGTGTTTTATTGAATAGATTAGTCCTGCCTAACACACAATATCCTCCTCTGTTTTTTCTTGCTCTTCCTCCGTTCTCTCGCTCTTTCAGCCGTCGTTCAACAGCTCCTTGCTGATGTCGTCCAACCTGAGTCACCAGCGGCGGTCACAGGGGGTGTACCTTCCGGAGAGTGGAGTGGGCTCCTCTATTAACCTTTCCATGGACTGTGAGGCCAGCACCACCTCCACCCCTGTGGCCGGGCGTCCCAGCACCAGCACCCTTTACAGCCAGTTCCAGAGCACGGAGAGTGAGAACAGGTCTGTACCCACTCCCCAGACACCTGAATGTGGCCTCCTACCCTCATCTCTGCCCCAGCAACACATTACCCCTCAGTGTGTTACGATAGTGGCTGACTGTGTTTCTTCTACCTTTGACCCCCAGGAGTTTTGAGGGCATCCTGTATAAGAAAGGTGCGTTGCTGAAGCCATGGAAACCCCGCTGGTTTGTGCTGGACAAGACCAAACATCAGGTAAGAGGAGGGAGGTGGACCATGATACTGATGGTGATTGTTACTGTGGTGGTGGTGGTGGTGGTGGTGATGATGGTGATAATCTCTCTGTCTAGCTGAGATACTATGAGACCAGGAAGGACAAGGACTGTAAGGGGGTGATTGAGCTGGCGGAGGTGGAGTCTGTCATTCCAGCCACGCCCACCATGGGAGCGCCCAAACACATAGAGGAGAAAGCCTTCTTTGATGTGAGTTACCAGAGCCCTCAGAGTGATGGTTTTTATGAGTGTGTATTGTGACATGTTCTGTCATGTTATGATCAGTGAATGCATTTCCTAAATGACTCAAATGTAAATGTAAAAGGGAAATCTATGCGGTAACATAAGAAAGATCAAACAGGCTTAACCATCTCTCATTCTCTTTCTATGGCAGCTCAAGACGACCAAAAGAGTATATAACTTCTGTGCGCAGGACAGCCCCAACACACAGCTGTGGATGGACAGTATTCAGAGTTGCCTCTCTGATGCCTAGAGAGCTGCACGGCTCCACCATAACAGGAACTATCCAACCAGGAACCAATGAGCAGTGCTGAGGCACCCGATGGACATCTCTGCTGGCCAATCACAGGAGGTCCTCTCAAGGAGGCGGGATTGAGACATATGAGGGTAGAGTCCTTTCCACAGTTGAGTGCCGTTCAGTGTCTGTAGTAGTGTTGAACTGATGTCATGTTTCAGTGTTTTTGTTATAAAAATGAAAGGAAATGAAAACGAAAGGAAGAGAAGTCCCTGAATGACCACTCGCTTTTGTCTCACCGTGTTGCTGGCTGCAGCCTCTCACCTTGGTAGATCTACCACTATTTGCGCTGGATGTCTATGCAAAATGGAGCTAAAAGAAAAAAAGCATGATATAGTTTGTTGTGTGAAGATGGACAGTTTCTCACCAGACTAATCTAACTGGGGCCTCCAGCATGCAGATGTATCCAGACCCTCCCATCTCCTAGAGACTACAACTCCCATTCCTCCACACACCTCAACACTCCAGGGAGGAAGTAATGATGAACTACATTATCCAGCCCATGTCTCCAGCCCAGCCATGCAGAGGTTCCTGCCTGTAGACCATGAATACAGGAAGTGAATTGGAGTGTTTCCTTTAACAACAGAACACAGAATCGGCCACTTTGAAAAGGATCCAGAACGTGACGACAAACGAAACCGGCCCCAACTGACGCTGGACAGTCGTCATGGTCACCTGCTAGCTGACGTTGAAGCCTCCCCTGTTTCCCCCCTCTCACTGCCTGATGTAGCTGAGTCTCACCCCAGTAAGGAGTTGGACACTCATAGATCCCCTCTCCTCTAAGATGTTTCTTATTCCCCAGACACACCGCCAAGGGAGCCCTCAACGGTTTATGAAGGATTTAAACCTTTAAAAAAATTTTTTTTACAGCTTATCTGCAAAAAAAATTGGGTCACTCAAAATTGTGTCAGAGATATCAGTCCTCCTAGTTATCACCCCCAGAGCAGTTGATGGTGATATACTGTGAAAGCTGTTATTAGCCCTCGTGATCAAGCCAGGAAAATGGCAGTCGGAGATTAGATTCTACATCCGCCGGACAGGGAGTCTGTCTCTGTTTGCAGAACAATATTAGTGTTTACACAAGAAGCTATGGGCTGTACTTCCCAAGCTAAAGTTCTTCCTTTATATTTCTTATTAAAAAAACAAATAAAAACCACTATTACCGTTGAAAATGTTAAGGGATGCTGAAGGAACAGGAGGGATATATTTTTGTGAAGATTAATTTATGCACAAAATGATAAGACAAAAAGTTAAAAGGTGTGAGATGCAGATGGATGGGGCTTGTGGGCAGAGCAGAGGGGATTATGGTATGGATGACTAGTCTGTTTACATGGCACAGTGCTGAGACTGGATCTGACTGCCATGACAACTAACATGGCAGACTTCCTGGATACGACCCCCCTCCCCCTCTGTTTATATGGTCAGGTTTAATATAGGACAAATGGTATTTCAGTTATACAAGTGCCAGTGGATTTTAACATGTGACAAGTATTAGACTGTTGGATTGGAATGTGCTCTAAACAAGTAAAAACAACCGATTTTTTTTTCCAGGTAATACAGTTCTTAACCAGCCGAGGTGGTGTTCAAGGCACTTAGAATAATTCAAATTCACACATTTTAACCAAATCCCCAACAACAATAATTACGCAGCCAATTAATTGCATTGAAAGTCTCAAAAGCATGTGTCCGAACATAAGATATCACTCTCTGTGCTATGTTTACCTACTCAGCCTTTGTTTGGTGGTCTGTGGCACAGTTTGGCTTCTGAACAACTGCATTTGTGTGAACAGTAAAACTTCAGCGAGTCCCAACTCTCTCGCGGCTGCTCTTCTGTCTAAACCAGTGTTTTTAGCTAGAGCCTGTTACATTCTATTCTTAAGCCTGTACATATAGGAGTCAATGTCTGTTGTAGAGAAATAATATGTTTAGCTGGAATTTGTGATTAAATCACTTGTTTTTTTTATGCTACAGAGCAGTATCGGTTAGCCCTCATTTTGAGCCCCCAAGTCACAAAAACAGACACACTCCTTCTCGTTTAACACACAAACATTGCCGTGTAAAATATGATTATACTGCTGTCTTGTTGAACATAAAATTTGAATTGTAGATTGTTTGTGTCTTAACTCCTTTTGTATATACTACTCAGATTTGTATGTAACGTTTATGGTAGTAATTTATTTAACTTTGTCTCCTCGGTAAGAAAAGTTCCTCAAGCACCACTTTTATTTTTAAAATTAGGAATCCAATGTGCCATTTGTTTATTTCTGTATTAACGTGACTAATGCTACTACTTTTTGGAAAATGTGTTGTATAAGTAAACCCTCAATGTCTTTTTTTGTTTTGTTTTTTAACATTGTTGTCCTTCCCCAATATCAACCCCTAAGCAGAGTGGAAATGGTGTGTTTGTATGAGCAAGAACTAGCCTCCCTAGTTAAGGTGGGTGTTCTAGAATGGAGTTAAGGAATCTCATTAAGTTGCTTACCTACACAGGTGGGGTGTTTTAAAATGTCACTCACTGACACACACTTAAAAAGCCCAGCTCACTCGATTTACTGCAGTCTACTCATCTCTCCTGATTTGGGTAGATTATATCCACAACATTAATCAGATCAGTACAATGTAACCTTTTTATTATTTATTTTTATGTTTTTCTTTTTTTCTCTAATTAGACATTTTCTTCTGAGCCGGGTCTGTCAATCATGTAATATATTTTTTAGAATTAAAACAAAAACACTGTGGGTTTAAACGTCACTGGTTTGGTGTAGGTTTGTCCCTTTTCTCGTCCAAGATTAACAGATTACTTTTATTGGGTGATAATGTCTCTAATCAGTTACGATTTATGAAGCTCTCAATTTCAGTGCTACGTGAGTTCAAAGACACCGCACCAGCCAGGTAGGACCGACCTCATTCACTGGTTATAATAAAGACACAGCACCAGTCTGAAGAATACAGGGTTATGAGTGTGAATGTGATGGTTAAATAGATATGTGACTGACAATGTTTCTAATTGGATGATAGATCTATTAATTATATATCTATGCATGTGATGGTTGATTGCTGGATGGTTGTCTAGAGGGGCCTCACCCTGTTGGAGTAGTTAGTGGTCAGTGCTATGGGCAGGGATCACCAGTCTGAACTTTTTATATAGCCTTCCTGAGGCCACTGTCGTTAGACTTGGCAGGAGAAACAGAAATCAGACTGGCCAAGTTAGTACATGCACTTTAAGAAAATGTTGTCAGATCAAAGACAAGTTAGAATCTACTCTTTTCACTGTTCAACCCTAAACGTAACCAAGGCAAGAACTGTTGGTGACATACTATTCACAAAATGTAAAGTGATGGAGATGACAGTGTGTGAGGAAAGCTGATGCTTTCACAAGTGAGTTGAGGAAGATGAATCACAAGCCAAAGCTATGGCATTAACCTGTTAAAACACAAAAGCTATGGCATTAATTAACCTGTTAAAACACTAATCATCTGTTTTACACTCACTCTTTATATATTTAGACTGAAACAAGTTAAGTTGGCATCAAGACACTCACCTCCATTCTGGTAACAGTCCTAAAAGGAGGGTGCTGGGGGAAACACCAATGCATCCTGCCCTTCCTCTATGCCTGAAGGTGATCATACATAATTGGATGGGTGAAAGCACTATGGTTGTCATCCATCCAATTCTGTTGGATCAGTGAAATCTCCAAGAATGGAAGGATGCATTTTTAAGTACTTTGCTATTCATGTGGACAACCACACACTTTAATTGTCTAATTTAAAAACATAAAAAACAACAGTCATAGAACTAGCTAGGTGTCAAATGATTAAGTACACTAGTGCAACTGTTCCTAACCTTTTCCAGTTGCTGTACCACCTACTGAATTTTGCTCTGCCCGGAGTACCCCCTCGTGAATTTTACCAGTAGGCCTATGGTGTCATGAGGCTTCTCAAGGACCCCCTGTTGATAGGCCAAGTACCCCCAGGGTTCCTAGTACCACTGCACTAGAGAGATCATGTATTTAGCAGAACCCAACGTAGACCCTCTCAAATCATGTTTCGCAAGAGGACAGCTTCAACCCTATCTGTTGCAAAGGCAACTCCTTCCCTATAAGTGTTGAGGAAAAATGGAACATTGACACGTGGTAATCTCAAGATTGCTTGTAAAATGACTTTAAATGTAGATATTTGAATATAGGTAGATCATGTTTGGTTGATTTTAAGGGGGATAACAATAACTTAAAGTCAAATACAATCAGGTCTCAGCTCACTAGCTAGGTCAACAGAGAACCAGTTATACATGCAATAACATAAGACAAATCAAAACCTTGAGTTCAGTTTATATCTAAATTAGTTGGCCCATATAACTATACCGAATGAGTCTTCCTCTTGACAACACTAAAAGTAGATAAAAAAAAAAAAAGGTTTAAATGTCATTTTTTAAATAAAATGGCTAATTGTCATTATTGCACATGAGCAGAAGACTAATACTATAGAACTGTGTTCCTCGACCCACCCCTTTTCCTTGATGGACACTTTAAAAAACATTCAGAGAACTGGTGAGGTACAAGAATAAAGAGATGAGGGTAGTACACTTAACGTTGTGCTAGAATGTACAGTAAAAATGACTGCATAAGTGCCTTTTAAGCTCTCAAGGGAAAAAAATATTTCAGAAAGGTATTTATTGTTGAGGCATCATTTCGTTTAGTTAACCTGTGCTATCCACTCCCTACCACTTAGGTCCAACTGTTTTGTGAAAAGAGTAAGAGAACAAATCCTTCAGAAAAAAACTTTATACTCCTCTCAGATTTCGGTTGTTTAAAAGAGATCACTGCTACATTAAAACCACACATACTTATGTGCAACATCAGAAAAGGCTTTGAAGACAATTTCCTCTACACTGTTCTGCCTGTTGGTTGGGATGATTGGTTGCTTTTACACGTCCCGCCTCCTCATTATTGGTGTTGATTGGCAGTGTCCAGTTCCAATAACATGGCAGCGTGATTCATTAAAACACTGTAGGTTGCAGTGAGGTTATTTGGGGAGGAGGGTGGTCTCCCTGGAAATGGCACAGTCTGTCACACCAGTCTGGGGTTTAGGGCTCTGTCTGTCTGCCCCTCAGACAGGCCCGTTGACTGCTGGCATCTCTGGGTACTGGGCCTGGGGTGGATTCTCTCTGGAGGGTGGTAGAAGGAGAAGAAGAGGGGGTAGAGAGACGCGATTTAAGAAAGTGAGGCAGAAGATAGAAGACTGAGACAAAGTGAGAGGAGGGTGATAACATTATTATAATCCTACATTGCAGACCACCTCTCGTTCTCTGGCAGAATAAGAGTTCACAGTAAATATTTCTACAGGCTCACAACACTGGCAAAGAGCACTGCTATTGTTCAACGTCCAGATGCATGTCTTGGCTCTGGCTGTTTAGAAAAGGAAACTGGGTTGCTAGAATATTTTTTTGCCCTGATCTGCCTGGGATCTTTACATGTGTATGTGTGTTGTATTCATGCAAGCATGCATTATTTGCATTACTTGTACACACACACAAGCTTGCACCTACTTGTCTGTCTGAGGGGTGGGGGCCGAGGTTGGCGGTGTGTCTGCTGCAAGCTGTGCCTTTGGGTGGGACTTGGGGGCGTCTGTGAGGGACAGTTTTTCCAGAGGGATGGGGTTCTCCTCACTGTAGCACAGAGATTTTTTGCATGTTAGTCAGTCTTCAACAAAAGTGTGCGTAGGAAATAAACATGTGAAGAATTGAATTGACCTGTTTAATTTATATAAACTGTATTTTTCACATATTTAGCTTCACCACTACAACTCTTATTTAAAATACTAGTGATTTTTCTTTAGTAAAGCACATTCATAGTTCATGGGAAGCTCCCTGGATTTCCAAACTCTGAATCCAGTCATTTCAGTTCAAGTCCAGTATATAATTACTTCAATGTGGTAGTTATGTTTCAAAAATAGATGTTTATTTACATGGGTACTAAGGCTTGAGTGGACTTCTTCAGAGTGATTTAGCATTGACTGAACGTGAGGATGAGGCGTCTAACTCATGTTAAACCAACAGGTTCTAGTTTCCCAACCTTTTGACCTCTGCTTTCTTGCTGGTGGTTGCCTTGGCGGCGGCAGTCTTGTCGTCCTCCTCGCTGTCGGAGCCCCCGGAGGAGCTGCTATCTGAGGCTACGAGGGGAGCCTTCCTACCCTCACCCACCGGCCACTCACCACCGGGAGAGGGGCTCGCACCTGGACACACACAATCACTTTATTGCTTTGGCTTGTGCGTTAGGTAATGAAAGCCTTGAAAAACAAGGTTTTACTGGTCTCAATGCAATAGTGACTGTCTCCACAAGGGGGAGCTAAGCCAAATGTCAGTTGGCTGAAACCTCCCATGATCCCACACTCACCACTCTTGTCCGGACCCTGTTTGACTTGTTTGTCTGCGTCACTGTTGCCTACAGGAGAGCTGCATCTGGGGCCAGCCTCTGGGCTGCAGGGAGAGGAGGTTAGCTTCAGGTACAGAGCACTGACAACACACCACTAGGCATGTCACACAATGACGTAAACAACAACATCTTATGTTGGTGATTTAAAAAGGGCTTCCTAAAAATGTTTGATAAATTGACAAGTTACGATATCCCAGACACTAACATCAAATCAAATTTATATAGAATTGTATGCGGAGTGTTTGGTCCCCACCTGCTGAAAGGTTGGAACTCTGTGAAGTTGGCCCAACCTGCTACCTGTTTGTCTCCTCCACTCCCCCCTGGGGAATCCCAGCCTGCAGGACCCGGAGAGGATGAGTTACCCCCAGCGTCCCCGAAACTCGCTGTCCAGCTTTGGACCTTCACATGATAACATGGTAAGAGGAGAAAAAAAAGTCTACAATAATGGTTTTCGCAAAGTGGAGACCATTCATGATTACTGTCTAATTGATTGAGTAACTATGGGTAATAAGCATAGTTTACAAGTAGCTGATTGATTGCCAGGCGTACTGGGTGTGTTGTCCTTGCTCTCCTCCAGGCTGCCTGTGTCTGGGGCGCTCTGTCTGGAGTCGTCGTCCTCGTCTGAGCCCGACCCGCGGTCCCGCTCCCGACCCCCGTTCTCCAGACTACTCCTGGAGCTGCTCTCTGAAGTGTGGGACACCCCAAACCTGACACACACATGGAGAGAAAGAGAAGAGAGGTTTGAAGAGCGAGAGTTGGGGAGAAAAAAGAAGGAGTGAGATCGAGGAGAGAGCTGCACATTGGCATAACATCCCCTACTTTGTTTTTGGATCTTGAATTTTTACCAACCTTGTTCTGGATTTCACTTGTGTTGCATAGTTAATCTCCTTCTCCTCCCAAATGTCCTCCTCCTCTTCAGCATCGTCAAACTGACGTATCCTCTCTTTACAGCAGGCCTCAAAGGCAGTAGCGTTGGCCTGTATTCACACACAGGGAGAGGGAAACATGTAAAAATTAACTTTCACTACACGCACAATGAAGCTGGTAGACATTACAGAACACAATACAACAACTTACACTATTATCATCAGCATCTAGATTGAAGTTTATTTCTGCAATCCGGTCAAATGTGGCACTTAGGAAAGGAAGGAAACAAAGTAGCATTTAATGCAAACAGCAGCTGTTAGCCCCCTGAGGTCTGTCATAGCAAACTGCTGTACAGTCTGTTTCAAAGCTGACTTCTAGTTATTGGAGAAGGAATAGTGGAACGGACGACTAAACTCACTTGATGTTTTCATCATGCTCACTGAACTCCTCATCGTTGAACCCAAACTGATCCACAAAGTTGGCAGTCATCTGCTGGATCTGATAGTCCGAGAAAGCCTGGGGGGGAAAAACATGAAATGAGTCCTTTCATAAATCATTCTCTTTCCTCATGGGCAGACAAATGTGTTGCCATGGTGCTTTGGCTTCCTACCTGTTGGAGTGACAGATCGTTGGGGAAGGGACTCTCCATATCATCGTCCTCACTGGAGGAGTGTAGGTTATGGGTGCTCACCTGGGACAGACAGAATTAGAGCGTGAGGAAATGACAGACAGAATGTGTAGCAGGGAATGCTTGAGCAAGAAAAATGTGTCTATTTGTGTGTTGGAGAGAAACACAGTTACTGGACCTTGACACTGCCAATCAACACCAATAATGAGGCGGCGGGACGTGTAAAAAGCAACCCATCATCCCAACCATTGGTTGATACCAGTTCTCACCAGTTCAACTGTGTTTCTCCTGTTGGTCTCTCTCAGGGTCTCATCCACAAAGCTCTCCCAGCGTCCTCTGCAGTCCTCTGGCAACTCTGCAATATCACAGACCAGACCAGTTCTGAGTACTCACCCAGGCACAGTAACTGGCAATAGCAGTTGAACATTCTTTCCTACTTCTGTATTTATAAAAGAATAGGAAGGTATGCAATCTGGCAGCTCATCAAAAAACACAATACCTTTGATGAGGTCACTGATCTGGGACTGGACTGGTCCTTTCTCTAGGTTCTGTACCACCATGTTGGCCATCCTGGTCAGGTGACCCATGTTACCTCTCCTAGCGCCGCCCTCCGCCCTGAGAGACAAAACCACACACAGGTTAATGACATCTAACAGACAGTACTATCATGTGTTAGATTCCAGCATTGTAGTGAAACAATACCAAAGGCAGTTCCACAGATTTGCATGTCTGACATTTTGTCTTACTGTATTTGATCGTTCTCCTCCCAGGCGTCCAGGATTCTCTGTACCAACCGACACTGCTGGAAGAGCTGAGGAGGAAGAACAAAATAATACAGATTCAGAGACAACATCAAAACACAACTTTATAATGTATAACGCTGTCGGACCAACAGGCTCCGAGACGGCTTCTACCCCCAAGCCATAAGACTGCTAAATAGTCAATTAATGGTACCCAAACTATCTGCACTGACTCTACGCACACTCACTAGACCCCTCAAACGCAACGGTGGACCTGGAAGCCAGTTCCACTGCGTTTTTTTTCATTGTTCCCCTCTAATCAGGGACTGATTTAGACCTGGGACACTAGGTAGGTGCAATTAATCAGGTAGAACAGAAGACCAGCAGGCTCCAGACTTCGTAGGGTAAGAGCTGAATATCCCTGCACTAGACTATATATACTGTGCCTTGCAAAAGTATTAATCCCCCTTGGCGTTTTTCCTATTTTGTTGCACCACAATCTGTAATTTCAATGGATTTTTATTTGGATTTCATGTAATGTACATAGTCCAAATTGGTGAAGTGAAATGAAAAAAATAACTTGTTTCAAAAAATTCTAAAAAATAAATAACGGAAAAGTGGTGCGTGCATATGTATTCACCCTCTTTGCTATGAAGCCCCTAAATAAGATCTGGTGCAACCAACTACCTTCAGAAGTCACATAGATTGCACACATGTGGACTTTATTTAACTAAGTGTCACATGATCTCACCTGTTCTGAAAGGCCCCAGAGTCTGCAACACCACTAAGCAAGGGGCACCACCAAGCAAGCGGCACCATGAAGACCAAGGAGCTCTCCAAACAGGTCAGGGACAAAGTTGTGGAGAAGTACAGATCAGGGTTGGGTTATAAAAAAATATCAGAAACTTTGAACATCCCACGGAGCACCATTAAATCCATTATTTTAAAAATGGAAAGAATATGGCACCACAACAAACCTGCCAAGAGAGGGCCGCCCACTAAAACTCACGGACCAGGCAAGGAGGGCATTAATCAGAGAGGCAACAAAGAGACCAAAGATAACCCTGAAGGAGCTGCAAAGCTCCACAGCGGAGATTGGAGTATCTGTCCATAGGACCACTTTAAGCCATACACTCCACAGAGCTGGGCTTTACGGAAGAGTGGCCAGAAAAAAGCCATTGCTTAAAGAAAAAAATAAGCAAACACGTTTGGTGTTTGCCAAAAACCATGTGAGAGACTAAAATTTAGCTTTTTGGCCATCAAGGAAAATGCTATGTCTGGCGCAAACCCAACACCTCTCATCACCCTGGGAACACCATCCCCACAGTGAAGCATGGTGGTGGCAGCATCATGCTGTGGGGATGTTTTTCATCGGCAGGGACTGGGAAACTGGTCAGAATTGAAGGAATGATAGATGGCGCTAAATACAGGGAAATTCTTGAGGGAAACCTGTTTCAGTCTTCCAGAGATTTGAGACTGGGATGGAGGTTCACCTTCCAGCAGGACAATGACCCTAAGCTTACTGCTAAAGCAATACTTGTGTGGTTTAAGGGAAAACATTTAAATGTCTTGGAATGGCCTAGTCAAAGCCCAGACCTCAATCCAATTGAGAAGCTGTGGTATGACTTAAAGATTGCTGTACACCAGCAGAACCCATCCAACTTGAAGGAGCTGGAGCAGTTTTGCCTTGAAGAATGGGCAAAAATCCCAGTGGCTAGATGTGCCAAGCTTATAGAGACATACCCACGGGGGGCCAGTATGAAAAATAAAAAAATGATGTATGCACTCACTAACTGTAAGTCGCTCTGGATAAGAGCATCTGCTAAATGACACACACAAAAAAAAAATACCACAAGAGACTTGCAGCTGTAATTGCTGCAAAAGGTGGCTCTACAAAGTATTGACTTGGGGGGTGTGAATAGTTATGCATACACAAGTGTTCTGTTTTTTGTCTTATTTCTTGTTTGTTTCACAAGAAAAAATATTTTGCATCTTCAAAGTGGTAGGCATGTTGTGTAAATCAAATGATACAAACCCCCCAAAAATCTATTTTAATTCCAGGTTGTAAGGCAACAAAATAGGAAAAATGCCAAGGGGGGTGAATACCTTCGCAAGCCACTGTACACACTTCATTGACACTCCCACACAAACACTTTTATACTCATCATATGCTGCTGCTACGCTGTTCTTTATTTTACTCTTATTAGTATAATCTATCCTGATGCCTAGTCACTTTACCCTGCCTTCATGTACATACTGTATCTACCGCATACCTGTGCACATTTATTGATTTTATTTTGTTCCTATTTTTTTTGTTGTAAACTCTGCATCCTTGGGAAGGGCTCATAGCAAGCAAATAAAATGTGATGTTTTAGACAAGGGTATTACTGCACATAGACAGACGCAGAGCTACCAAGCCACCTACATGTGCCACCAGGGTGTTGTGAAGGGTGGTCTCCTCCACCGGGTCGCTGGCTTTGGCTGGCTCCCCAGCCTCCCCTCCTGCCTCCCCCTGGTTCTCTGGGCCTGCTGGGGGCTTCTCCTCCTTGTGGTTCTGGAGGCCAGGGACAGGCCGCTCCTCTGGGCCAGAGTGGTTGAGGATGGACGCCACACACAGCTCCACTTGGAAGTGCAAGAAGTTATTCCATGAGTACTTGAAGAACAGGTCCTGTGGAGAGCAAAGAGCGAGAGAACCGTTGTGACCGATGGTGGGTGAGTGAACGAGAGCAAGAAAGTGAGTGAGTGTGAATGACCGAAAGGAGAGGAAATGAATAAAAGAAAAGCGCGTGCCAGAGCGTGAACAAATGAATGAATGCGAAAGAGTGAGAGATCATGAGCAGTTTGAGACCCGGCATTGCAGACACACCAGTAGCTGGTCCATGGTGGTGAGCTTGCAGAGCTCCTGACAGACACTGGGGGCGCTGGTCTGCAGCAGGGCAGCCACCAGCCGGGCCACGTGAAGGCGGGCGTTCCCCAGAGGCTCCTCCAGAAGGCCAACGGTCGTCAGTATTGCACTTTTCTACACACATAGAAACACACACCATGTTCAATAAAATTACTCAACAGTCCAATGCATACAGGAAAGACTGTGTTGAACAAGTTGATTTCAATTATGTGTGTTAATGGTTGTAAACCCCCTGAAGTTTATTTATTAAAGTATGGTTGGAATTCTACTGCAGTCTGCTGGCTTCCAACATAATTGAATTAGACAATTTTAACCCAAAAAGTATTTATGTTTCATAAAAATTATTGACTGTAGACTGACTGAGTGTCTCTCTTTCTTTCTTAGTACCCACTGACCACTGTAAATTGATCAGCCACAGCCATACGGCCTTACTGTATGTCCTTACCTTGGGTGGATTCAGGAGAAGCTGCTGGAAGTCCTTAAGATGGGGCTCAATGGCATGTAGAATACTGCTGTTGACAGTGTAAGTCCTTTCATATCCCTGAGAATAGAGATCCATCAGCCCCTCCAACCTGGGACGGAGAGAGAGAACAAGGGAGGGATAAGGAAAAAGATGTTCACATGTTAAAATAGCTGGAGAGATGGTCCCTGTCCAGGAACAACCTCTAGCCCCTACCCCTGCCCCTGCCTTAAACATTTGTGGAGATCTGAGAGGATTGGACAGGTGTAAGCAATGTGGTGATAAATCCAGCCAGCCTCTCAGAAGGCGAGGTGGAGGTATTACCATATAGCTTAACTCTATCATATCCTTTTAAGATCTCCACAAGTGGCTAGAGGTGTTTCTGGACAAGGCAATGGAACGAGATATGAGGGAGGAAGAGTTTATATGAGAGAGAACAGTTGTTCCACTCACCCGGACCTCCTGGTCTCCAGTAAGGTAAGTAGCACTTGAGTTCCGTTAACAATGGAGGCCTCACTCCTCTCCCCCTCAAACATGGTCTTCAGGAGCCCCGCTACGCTCTCCTGCGACTCTAGTACAGCCAATAAGGGGTCAGCCTCGACGTTCTCCTGCATCTGGTTGGCCTGGTCTCGACTAAGGCGGATGATGTCACAAAGCGTCTGGGACGCATTTGATTGTCTCTAAAAAATAAATTTAAAAAATGTAAAAAAAACTACTATACTTCTGACCAGATGGTTAATATGAACTACCATGCCTTGTCCAGGTAGAGTACTGCAATATCAGACTAAGGTCTATACTCACTTCCTCGTCTTTGCCTGTATGGATGAGCTCTGTGAGTCTCTGAATCAGCTTCTCTTCGTTCAGCCACTGAGATAAGGAAAGAAAAAGTACGACAGGGAATGAATGAGAGAAATACAAGACGTCCAAGTCAATAAGAAATGATATTTCTAATTGAACACAAAATGTATGAGAACAGGAATGGCTGACAGACAGACAGACCCACAGTGGCAGCTTACATTGAGGACCTCCTGCCTCAATGGGGCAGGCTCCACACAGCTGATGAGGCGAAGCAGCAGGTCCATCATGGCGGAGGCGTCGATGTGTTTCAGCACCAGGCCGATGAAGCCATCCTTTTTCCTCAGGAAGGAGATTACCTGGAGCAAAAGAGACATTTGGTGAGCTCCAGATAGGTCCTTACATTTTCTTTATCCACCTTTATGACTTCTTGGGCATTGAGATTACCTGTTCTGTTTTCCTAGCGATGAGGTTGCCAATGGTCTTGCTGAAGAAGCTGGCTAATAGCGGGTTGAGGGGCGGGTCCTGCTCCAGGAAGTGGTAGAGAGTCTCCAGGAGTGACTCGTCCCCGCCCAACTTGTCGTTGATGAGGGACACGTCTGATGTCAGGAGCTCACAGGCGATGTTAGGGAACCTGTAATGTGGGTCGACAACAACAGGATGAGAGGGGGGAGAAAACAGTCTAAGTGTCAGTGTGGGAGGGAGGTGTACAGTCTGTATTCATTCTTGAAATATGATACTTTTACGATGTTTGGAAATATTCTGACGATGCTCATTTCGTCAATTCTGAATTCATGTTTATTGGACTGAGTATGCTGAAGACCATGTTGTGTATGCTATGCTAAGGGACCCAATCAAGATCAGGGCCCAGTTTCCCAAAAGCATCTTAAGGCTAAGTTAATCGTTAGAACCATAGGAGTGAGTATGGTTCTAACGATGAACTTAACCTTAAGATGCTTTTGGGAAACCAGGCCCTATTGGGTGTTCTTTGTGTCTTGTAAGCTTCTTTACATGGCTAGATTTTGTCTACAAGAGGGCATGCATAGAGTTAGGAATTAGAATAGTAATTTAATAGGATTTCTATGAGGGCATGTTTCAAACCCAACGCCACCTGTTGTACTTTTCTGTCACATTAGAAGAATCAACCTAAAAACATGAACTAATTTAGAGGCATCTATCATGGCACTGGTAGTTCTGTTCCCAGTTCATGACGTTGTGAGTTCAAAACATCCTATTGTGTTTCTACACTGTCAATTATCAGTCTTCAACCTTAAAGCCATCAAAAACGTATCTTGGCTCCCATTAAGGCCGGGATTCAATCCAATCACGGGTTATAGGCATTGTGGCTTTTAAAGGCAATGTTCCCGTTTTTGCAGAGATCCCATTCACAGTAACCGCTGCATATGTCGGCTCAATAGAAATTGCCTTTAAAAGCCGCAATGCCTATTATAGATGGGATTGAATCCCAACATATTTTCAAAGACATTTCACATTTCCTGAAGGAGACAATGGGTGAGAGGTAACAACCTGGCCTCACACATCTAAACTTGTGGGTTCAAATCTAGTAGGCTGTGTTTTTGTTTGAACAATTCTTAACATCAAATATTTGAAGAGAACTGTGTATTTTTTGGGGAGTATGAGGTAAGACCATTGCCTCAAGCATTGGTTCAAAGGTTTGAATCTAGCTGGCTGCGCTTGTGTTTGTTCTACTCAACCTCAACTGTGTAAAGAGAGCATGTATAGCGAAGTAGTCAGTGGCTCTGGGGTAAGAACCTTGCCTCCAAAACTGATGGTCATGGGTTCAAAGCTAACTGGTTGTGTTTTAGTTTGTGCTTTCACAATTATCAATGTCAATCATACGCAGAGGCATGTATGAACTGCGAATGAGTTGTGGCTCTGGGGTAAGAACCTTACCTCCCATACTGATGGTTATTGGTTCAAATCTAACTGGTTGTGCTTTCTCAATGTCAAACATATGTTTGAAGTGTGAAGGAGTTGTGGCTCTGGGGTAAGAACCTTACCTCCCATACTGATGGTTATTGGTTCAAATCTAACTGGTTGTGCTTTCTCAATGTCAAACATATGTGTTTTGAAGTGTGAAGGAGTTGTGGCTCTGGGGTAGGAACCTTTCCTCCTATACTGATGGTTATGGGTTCAAATTTAACTGGTTTTATTTATGTTCTTGGGGAGTGGCTGCCACAAAAATGGTTGGAGGGCAGTGGTGTTGTAAGGGAGTGATGAGCAGATGGGATGATCAGATTTGACCGTTCAGACAAGTTGCATGGCCAGGAATCAGATTTGTATTTGATTTCAAACCACCTACGAATGTGGCTTGAAATATCTGATTCCATGTGCGTTTTGGCTGTTCAGACTGCAGGAAAATGAACAGATTCTAAACAGATATTCCAACAAAAAAAAAAGGATTTGAGTCACTTCAAACTGCTAATGTGAACAAGGCTTTAGTTTTTATAGGCAAAATCTGTATTTAAATACCAAGTGGCCATTGTGCTCCAGCCCCTTTAACCTCCTCCAATCATCACAGCTGCCCTTCGACCAACTCTGCAGATAACAGCTGAGCAGACATAACTGGATTTGAACTCATAACCGACAAGGCGAGGACTAGACCCCACAGCCACAAGCTCTTTCACTCTAGACAGGGATCTCTGTGTGTTTGACATTGAGAATCACAGGAAAATAAAAAAGACCGTAATAGTGTATGCGTGCTGGTCTTGCGTTGAAACTTGGCAGTTGGTACTTCTCATCCACTGAGCATAGAACCCAGGCAATGTCAGAGCATGTTACGGAGAAGCCCCTTTCATTTCGTACAACTGGTTTTTAAAGGGAAGGTCAGTCCGTGATGGCATAAGCATAGGGTGTATTTGAATATTTATTTCATTCAAAGTATCCTTTGTTTAGCACAAATGTTCTCTTACAATAATGACATAATATACACGTGTGTTGAGCGGCCACATCTCAGCCCATCCCTCTTCCCCCTCGGTCAACCCTTTTCTCTCACTTAAAGCGGCTCTTCTCCTCTAGGTCAGCAGGGGGCTCTGTGGTGATGAGGTTGACCAGCTCTGTCATGCAGTGGTCCTGGGAGAGGAAGAGCAGCAGCCGGCGGTTCTGGGCCTTGCACTCCTGCAGGACATCGTCCTCCTCCATGAGCTCCCGCAGCGTCACGTCCTCCCGGTCCAGCAGCTGGTCGATGTGGGACGTGGTGTGCAGGTCAAACTTCCAGAACATGATGGCTGCTTGGACAGGGGGCACAGCCCTAGGAGGAGAAGGAAGGAGAGAGTCAGAGAAAGAGGGACGCAATGTTGGCATGGCGCCCTAGTAGCAGCCTAAGCAGAGAGCTCCTGTAAATGTGTTTTTAAACGTTTTTTTTTTTTTTATCAGCTGTTTTGTTTTTGATAACATTGAGTTTTGTTGCATGTTTCTGGTGGTTTTGATATTGTAGCCCTCTACAAGATCACCACCAGACACTTCAACCATCTCCCTGACTACCTTCTTCTGTGCAAGCCATGAACTGTCCCTCTCCATCTTTAAAGGATGCATACACTCAAAGACGTGGCCTCTTGGTTGACCTAGCCAACTATAGTTAGGCTACTCACAATGATGTATTGGTTGACCTAACTAAAGCTAGGCTACTCATGATGATGTATTGGTTGACCTAGCTAACTAAAGCTAGGCCACTCATGATGATGTAGCTATAGCTAGGCTACTCATGATGATGTATTGGTTGACATAGCTAACTAAATCTAGGCTACTCATGATGATGTATTGCTTTTTAGTTTTTTGCTTTTGAAATGTAATTTACTAAAAAGGAGAAGAGGAAGAAAAAGGGGGAGATTAAAAGAGGTGAGGTTCATGCGTAGGTGGGGAGGGTAACAGGGGAAATACACACACAAAGATGAAAACAATGAAGCAGGAACATCTAAAAACATCCACATAAACACGGTCACTGACTCGGTCCACACATGAACAACAAACTCATTACAGATATAATTTTGTGCTTACCAGTAGATGAAATGTGGGTATCTTTAATCAGACCTCCCTCACAGACAGGCAGGCATTTGTGTTTGTGCAGACGGCAGAGAGCGTGGCGAGGCCTGGCATTTATCAGCATGGGTCTCCTCTTAGAACATGGGCCTCCTTAGTACACAACACACTGAAGGGCTCACCATAACCTGAGAGAGAGAAAGGGATGGGGGTTACAATAAATTATAATTAAATTCATATAGGACCTTGCAGCAGATCTATTATTAGTCAGCAGCAGTATTTGCATAGTCATCTTTAAACACAAGATGCATGTGTTGCATCATATTTACTCAGACTGCTTGACATCACAAGGAGGATTCTGAACAGAAATGTTCAAGAAAGACGTTTGTCTGGCTGCCATTAGTTGTAAGGTCATGACCTAGCCTTATAGTTAGTAGACTGCTAGTGAGAAAGCAGGGTTTGACTTTTGAAATCTTAGCCTCGGGCAGCCGAACCCTAAGTCAACCTGCTTCTATAGAATTCTTAGCTTCAGTTTTATGAATGAGACAATGAACTGATGTGCCAACAGTTACAACAGCCTGCCCTGACTTGCCTTGTGGCTTATAAAAAAACTAGGCCTAGACTAACGTTATATATCAACTCAATTTAGCCTAACAACGGTGAAATGCGCAATGCTTTGTGTTGTGTCGTCATGAACACAAACAACAAAGAACTCCAGCTAACTTAATTACCTGAAGACAGTAGTGAATGGCATTTAAGCCAACACAATGGAGAGGCTCACACTGAAAAATGGGCATGCCATCAACTACGAGATGCTAGCTGGAAAATCTTAAACAAAATTCCAGATGCATGCTTTGGGTCTTGTTAGGCCTATGCAAATGCTTTACGAAATGAGATGAGCATTTTGAAATGGATTATAGGCTTGCATAGGCTACCAATTACAGTCAAATTCATGAGAACTTTGTCGTAAGTCTAATGTATGAATACTGTGCTGACTACCGGAAGGAATGGCGGCCAAAGGAGGTGTTGGCTTTGGGGATGACCAGTGAGATATACCTGCTGGAGCGCATACTACGGGTGGGTGTTGCTATGGTGACCAATGAGCTAAGATAAGGCAGGGATTTGCCTAGCAGTGATTTATAGATGGCCTGGAGCCAGTGGGTTTGGCGATGAATATGTAGTGAGGACCAGCCAACAAGAGCGTACAGGTCACAATGGTGGGTAGTATATGGGGCTTTGATGACAAAACGGATGGCACTGTGATAGACTACATCCAATTTGCTGAGTAGAGTGTTGGAGGCTATTTTGTAAATGACATTGCCGAAGTCAAGGATCGGTAGGATAGCCAGTTTTACGAGGGCATGTTTGGCAGCATGAGTGAAGGAGGCTTTGTTTGCGAAATAGGAAGCAGATTCTAGATTTAACTTTGGATTGGAGATGCTTAATGTGAGTCTGGAAGGAGAGTTTACAGTCTAACCAGACTGTATTTGTAGTTGTCCACTAATGTATGAATACTGTGCTGACTACCAGGGTTAGCTGCCTAACTACTACAGTTAATATCATTACCTGTATGCTTTAAAAAGATATGCAGAAGAAATTGCATATAGTGCACACTGCCCTTTCCTGGACCCTCACTCACACATCACTAATGTGAAAAGGTTGTGGTTAGCTCTAGCTACTTCACTGTTTTTGACGTCAGCATTGCACACTAAACAACCTAGCTATAGCCTAGGCAACCACAACTATAGACAGGAAATGAGAATCGTTTCGAAAAATCTGTTGGCTATGGTTGCTACGGTAAACACACTAACCTATCAAGACCATCATTCAGACATGTTAGAAGGGACAAAGTCAAACCGACTTGCTTAGTCAACAAAAGACAAATGTGCTGGCCTGTGCAATACAACACTGACTGGCCGCCCACACATAACACAAGAATGGGTCTGAAAAAGGAAATCAACGTGTTTCCCTTCTTTTTCCACTTATTTGGACAACCCTGCTCTGCACGTGCGGAGCATCCATCTGGCATACATTTACACAGAGCTCACTAGTGCAACAATAACCCCCAAAGTGCTACACAGGAAAAAGCAAAAACTTGACTTCTCATCTAAAATAGAACTCACCAGGGGCATCCTCAACAAAACAGTCCACTGGCTAATGTAGTAAATGATGAAAAGAGGAACAATGGTTGAAGAGCAATCAACTGGATGCTATGACCCAACAGTAGCCTGTCATTAAGCAAAGCAAGTGGCTTATGGGGCAGTGTAGTAATGCAGCGTTAGTGCACATGCTCGTCAGAACTTCCTATTTCCTAGTTGTGATGTTGGATATACAACTTTGTTTCATTCATGTGCTTTTTGATCGGAACAATTCGTCAACCAACAAGATTTTAGTTAGCTTGATAAGCTAGCTAACATTGCTAATAATACAAGTTTGCTAGCTTGACATTGACAATATGGTCAATCTAGCTACATTATCCATATTGATAGGTTGTAGTTGTCAACAATTTTCTCAGAGTTTCCCACTTGTAATTCAGACTTGGAGGGTCGTTTAAGTGAAACTTCCCAGTCGGAACTAGGAATTTCTGATAACTCCGATGGCATGTGAACGCAGCATAGACAGAGCAATCAGAGGGCAGGCTATGTCACAAATCTTAGATGGCTTCCTTTCCTTGTCTCCTCACCTCCATGACCACTGATTAGTTAGGCAAAAGCAAGATGGTGGAAACGTATAAAGTATACTACGATCAGTGGTTATGAAGGAGAGTTGATAGATTAAAGGAGGCTATCTAAGATAATTTGGACATAGCCAGCCTCTCCCATCTCCTAATTAGGTGCTTATCAGTCTCAGTTGGCTGCACTGCTAAGCTCGCGCAGGTGTGCTTCTCCATGAGTTGCTAACAAAAGTAGCAACAGGGAGCCCCATTTAAGATGCTCTTTCTTATTGCCACCTTATACCAAGGATTCAAGATGTAGTTGGTTTTGGATAATTGCTTTATTTACGAACTTGACTGTTCTATTTTGTCTGTATGCCTATCATGGACCTCAGCCACAGCCTATTCTCCCTGCTTCCATTACTTTGATGCGGGCAGTATAGGAGTTTAATGCCAAAACCTGTCAGAATGGCCAATAGCCCCCAATCTCTAATGGACATTTATCATTGCTACAGTTGTCAAAGTGTCTTATTATTATTTGTATTATTGTCTCATGTAAACATGTATATTATTTTGTATTATTGTTTCATTCACTTCTCAACCCCCCCCCATTCTACTTTTCCATGTTGATAATTTCTCTGAATAACCGTTTGTAAGATGAGGAACCCTTTAGCAGGGTTCTTCAATTCTGGTCCTGGAGGGCCGAAACACCTCTGTTTTTCATCCTCTCCTTCTAATCAGGGGCTAATTCAGACCTGGGACACCAGGTGAGTGCAATTAACTACCAGGTAGAAATAAAAAACTGAAGTGTTTCGGCCCTCCAGGACCGGAATTGAAGAACCCTGCTTTAGGGTCTACTATCACTCCTTGTCTGACAATGTTCTGTAGAAATTTAAAATGATATGGTGGTGGCCTTGGCAAGAAATGCACATCAACTGCTGAGTGTTGGTAGCTCACATTTCTGTTTACTTCACAAGTCACTACTGTAGTACTTGCTGGCTACTTCTATTCACTACTTAGAGATTTGACATTGATTATTTATAAGGTTACGCTGCCAGTGCCAAACCCTTGCCATGCAGTTGGAAACGGGGTTGACTTTGTTTGTTCAATGGATAGAAATTCCAAGACCGTCGATTTGTTTCTAGACAACTACAATTTTACAACTGTGTGGAATTTTCCGCAACAAGTATATCTTCACGAATGCAGGAAGTAACATGTTAGGTAGTTAATAACATTTCTTGCAACCGAGACATGATCTTGAGAACGAACTTCTCTCTTTTTGGTCTCGCTAACGTCGAATGTCTGAACAACAGCAGCTAACGTCAGCTAGTATTAGTTAGCTAGGACATATTAGCAAGCGAGATAGCTACCTAATTCAGTTAGCAAAGTAGATTGGCTGAGCCAGAGGTATTCGACATAGACAGTCAAATGTAGAGAGAATCCAGAGCCGCTAGCTTTCCAGGTAGTTAGCTAACTTAACGTTACCATACAATTTAGCTAACGTTAGCACAAGTTGAGCACATTAGTATCAACTTCGTCGTTGTTAGTTAGTTAATGGCTGGTTGTCGGCGTTAGTTTCTCTCGGAGTCCGATAACTAGCAGCTAACGTTAACTAACATTAGCATAACTTGAACTAGCTAGCTAAATTGGCAAAAGCTAGCTAACCCTCTTTAGCTAACTAGGTACTGTCACTGATAGCTTAACCAGATAGTTAGTCGCCAAGCACAAATATAACTCACCAGCTTTAGCTAGCCAACGTTGGTTCTGAGAAACTTACCGTGTTGTTCAAAGTTTGCAATCCACTCGTATGTACGGCTAGAAGTTGGCTAACGCGACCTACCTTCGTTTGCTAATAACTAACGTTAGTTAGCGAACTAGCCAAACGTGATTTGTTTTGATGGGTCAGGCTGACGAGCAGTATCAGCAAAGTATCTGTCAACCTGGTGACACAGATATTAGTCTCTTGCAACGGACAGGCAGTTACCTCACATTTGTACCTTGTATATTCAATATTATTACGCGTACTGTCTATTTATATCCTCTACAGTAAATCAAATTCAAATGCTAGCCTTCTCAAGCATGCAAAGCAGGAAAAACTCGGTCATATTTTCGAATCAAAATGGCGAATATTCTCGCGGAGGCGCGCAGGGGAGTGCGCATTGACTTCTTCTATGGCCGGGGTGTCAAACTCATTTTGCCCAGGGGCCACATTCGGTCTCCAACTATGTCCGGAGGGCCGCACTGAAAATGGGTTATGTTACTGTACCTCACCATCAAAATTTGCAAAAGATAGTCCTCTATCCATCGTTTTTGGAATGTTCGATACACCCTTACTGTTTACCTTTAATTTCCGTGATTATTAGGGAGCTGGACACATTCAAGAAACTGTATAAAACAGTCCATTATCATTTCTACACAGTTTCGAGTTGGTTTTAGTAATTTTAAAGTATGCTGATCAAAAATGTAAACACAACATGCAACAATTTCAAAGATTTTACAGAGTTACAGTTCATATTAGGAAATCAGTCAATTTAAAAATTCATTAGGCCCTAATCTATGGATTTCACATGACTGGGAATACAGATATGCATCTGTTGGTCACAGATACCTTAAAAAGAAGGTAGGGGTGTGGATCAGAAAACCAGTCAGTATCTGGTGTGACCACCATTTGCCTCATTCAGTGCGACACATCTCCTTCGCATAAAGTTGATCAGGCTGTTGATTGTGGCCTGTGGAATGTTGTCCCACAATTTTCAACTTCAATAGCTGTGCGAAGTTGCTGGATATTGGCAGGAACTGGAACACGCTGTGCCTGTGGTACACGTAGATCCAGAGCATCCCAAACATGCTCAATGGGTGACATGTCTGGTGAGTATGCAGGCCATGGAAGAACTGGGACATTTTCAGCTTCCATGAATTATGTACAGATCCTTGCTGAATGGGGCCGTGCATTATCATGCTTAGGACTGCCCATACCATAACACCCACCGCCACCATGAGGCCCTCTGTTCAACAACATTGACATCAGCAAAAAAATCTGGGATCTTTTAATTCAGCTCATGAAACATGGGACCAACACTTTACATGTTGTGTTTATTTTTCTGTTCAGTTTACATTGAGTCATTTTAAAGTATATATCTCCCGAGTGGCGCAGTGGTCTAAGGCTGTGCCACTAGAGATCCTGGTTCGAATCCAGGCTCTGTCGTAGCCGGCCGGGAGACCCGTGGGGCGCACAATTGGCCCAGCGTCGTCCAGGGTAGGGGAGGGAATGGCCGGCAGGGATGTAGCTCAGTTGGTAGAGCATGGCGTTTGCAATGCCAGGGTTGTGGGTTCGATTCCCATGGGGGGCCAGTATGAAAAAATATATATATATTTATAATGTATGCACTCACTAACTGTAAGTCGCTCTGGATAAGAGTGTCTGCTAAATGACTAAAATGTAAATGTATATTCTCCCTGACTGTCTAGCTTGAATTTCTGTGATTATTAGCGAGCTGGACTCAGTCAAGAAACTGTATAAAAAGGTCTATTATCATTATTCTTTTTTTTTACTCAAACCACCCGCTTTTAAACCACAAACTTTAAGGTGCATGCTTCCACCTACTGTGCTGGAGTGTGTGGTCAATCACTGTTTACATTAGCTCTACATGTATAAAGGGAAACAAACCGATAAACCTAAATCCACATGCCTAACTGTACTATTAAGAACATTTAAAAGAGCCCTACTAACTTCTAACAGACCCTTCCCCATCCCTTCCAAATCCGTCCAAACCCGTCCAACCTCAATGACCCTACACTTCAATCTTTCCCTCTCTTCAACATAATTACAACAATATAACAACACATGCTCCACTGTTTCATCGACCATACATTCCAGACACAAAGCAGATGTAATGAAGAGTTAAATGTACAATGTCCTAGACACAACTGAGCAAACATCACCTCTTCCTTCCTAATCTGACCTTTGAATCTTGGTCTGTCGACCTTTCTTGGTGCAAAGACTTCAGAGAGAGACGAGGAATAAACTATACAGGGAGGGAAAAAAGTATTTGATACCCTGCTGATTTTGTACGTTTGCCCACTGACAAAGAAATGATCAGTCCATAATTTTAATGGTAGGTTTATTTGAACAGTGAGAGACAGAATAACAACAACAAAATCCAGAAAAACGCATGTCAAAAATGTTATAAATTGATTTGCATTTTAATTAGGGAAATAAGTATTTGACCCCCTCTCAATCAGAAAGATTTCTGGCTCCCAGGTGTCTTTTATACAGGTAACGAGCTGAGGTTAGGAGCACACTCTTAAAGGGAGTGCTCCTAATCTCAGTTTGTTACCTGTATAAAAGACACCTGTCCACAGAAGCAATCAATCAATCAGATTCCAAACTCTCCACCATGGCCAAGACCAAAGAGCTCTCCAAGGATGTCAGGGACAAGATTGTAGACCTACACAAGGCTGGAATGGGCTACAAGACCATCGCCAAGCAGCTTGGTGAGAAGGTGACAACAGTTGGTGCGATTATTCGCAAATGGAAGAAACACAAAAGAACTGTCAATCTCCCTCGACCTGGGGCTCCATGCAAGATCTCACCTCGTGGAGTTGCAATGATCATGAGAACAGTGAGGAATCAGCCCAGAACTACATGGGAGGATCTTGTCAATGATCTCAAAGCAGCTGGGACCATAGTCACCAAGAAAACAATTGATAACACACTACGCCGTGAAGGACTGAAATCCTGCAGCGCCCGCAAGGTCCCCCTGCTCAAGAAAGCACATATACAGGCCCGTCTGAAGTTTGCCAATGAACATCTGAATCATTCAGAGGAGAACTGGGTGAAAGTGTTGTGGTCAGATGAGACCAAAATGGAGCTCTTTGGCATCAACTCAACTCGCCGTGTTTGGAGGAGGAGGAATGCTGCCTATGACCCCAAGAACACCATCCCTACCGTCAAACATGGAGGTGGAAACATTATGCTTTGGGGGTTGTTTTTCTGCTAAGGGGACAGGACAACATCACCGCATCAAAGGGACGATGGACGGGGCCATGTACTGTCAAATCTTGGGTGAGAACCTCCTTCCCTCAGCTAATGGGTCGTGGATGGGTATTCCAGCATGACAATGACCCAAAACACACGGACAAGGCAACAAAGGAGTGGCTCGAGAAGGAGCACATTAAGGTCCTGGAGTGGCCTAGCCAGTCTCCAGACCTTAATCCCATAGAAAATCTGTGGAGGGAGCTGAAGGTTCGAGTTGCCAAACGTCAGGCTCGAAACCTTAATGATTTGGAGAAGATCTGCAAAGAGGAGTGGGACAAAATCCCTCCTGAGATGTGTGCAAACCTGGTGGCCAACTACAAGAAATGTCTGACCTCTGTGATTGCCAACAAGGGTTTTGCCACCAAGTACTAAGTCATGTTTTGCAGAGGGGTCAAATACTTTACATTTAACATTTACATTTACGTCATTTAGCAGACGCTCTTATCCAGAGCGACTTACAAATAGGTGCATTCACCTTATAGCCAGTGGGATAACCACTTTACAATGTTTTTTTTTTTTTTTTTTTTTTTTTTTGGGGGGTGGGTGGGTGGGTTGGAGTAAGGGAGGGGGGGGGGGGGGGGGGGGGGGGGGGGGGTAGAAGGATTACTTTATCCTATCCCAGGTATTCCTTAAAGAGGTGGGGTTTCAAATGTCTCCGGAAGGTGGTGAGTGACTCCGCTGTCCTGGCGTCGTGAGGGAGCTTGTTCCACCATTGGGGTGCCAGAGCAGCGAACAGTTTTGACTGGGCTGAGCGGGAACTATGCTTCCGCAGAGGTAGGGGAGCCAGCAGGCCAGAGGTGGATGAACGCAGTGCCCTCGTTTGGGTGTAGGGACTGATCAGAGCCTGAAGGTACGGAGGTGCCGTTCCCCTCACAGCTCCGTAGGCAAGCACCATGGTCTTGTAGCAGATGCGAGCTTCAACTGGAAGACAGCGGAGTGTGCGGAGGAGCGGGGTGACGTGAGAGAACTTGGGAAGGTTGAACACCAGACGGGCTGCGGCATTCTGGATGAGTTGTAGGGGTTTAATGGCACAGGCAGGGAGCCCAGCCAACAGCGAGTTGCAGTAATCCAGACGGGAGATGACAAGTGCCTGGATTAGGACCTGTGCCGCTTCCTGTGTAAGGCAGGGTCGTACTCTCCGAATGTTGTAGAGCATGAACCTACAGGATCGGGTCACCGCATTGATGTTAGCGGAGAACGACAGGGTGTTGTCCAGGGTCACGCCAAGGCTCTTCGCACTCTGGGAGGAGGACACAACGGAGTTGTCAACCGTGATGGCGAGATCATGGAACGGGCAGTCCTTCCCCGGGAGGAAGAGCAGCTCCGTCTTGCCGAGGTTCAGCTTGAGGTGGTGATCCGTCATCCATACTGATATGTCTGCCAGACATGCAGAGATGCGATTCGCCACCTGGTTATCAGAAGGGGGAAAGGAGAAGATTAGTTGTGTGTCGTCAGCGTAGCAATGATAGGAGAGGCCATGTGAGGATATGACAGAGCCAAGTGACTTGGTGTATAGCGAGAATAGGAGAGGGCCTAGAACTGAGCCCTGGGGGACACCAGTGGTGAGAGCACGTGGTGCGGAGACAGCTTCTCGCCACGCCACTTGGTAGGAGCGACCGGTCAGGTAGGACGCAATCCAAGAGTGAGCCGCGCCGGAGATGCCCAGCTCGGAGAGGGTGGAGAGGAGGATCTGATGGTTCACAGTATCAAAGGCAGCAGACAGGTCTAGAAGGACAAGAGCAGAGGAGAGAGAGTTAGCTTTAGCAGTGCGGAGAGCCTCTGTGACACAGAGAAGAGCAGTCTCAGTTGAATGACCAGTCTTGAAACCTGACTGGTTTGGATCAAGAAGGTCATTCTGAGAGAGATAGCAAGAGAGTTGGCTAAAGACGGCACGCTCAATAGTTTTGGAGAGAAAAGAAAGAAGGGATACTAGTCTGTAGTTGTTGACATCAGAGGGATCTAGTGTTGGTTTTTTGAGAAGGGGTGCAACTCTCGCTCTCTTGAAGACGGAAGGGACATAGCCAGCGGTCAAGGATGAGTTGATCAGCAAGGTGAGGTAAGGGAGAAGGTCACCGGAGATGGTCTGG